GATTTACCCGAGCATAAATCGCTGCTCAAATGAAGCGTCCACAAAAGATGGTGCTGAAATGTTTAACACCAAACAATGAGATCGTTGAGAGACATTTGACAAGATTATATTTATGTGCTTTTCGTTCATTATTCGCTTATTCATTAAACATTTTTGTTTTGTTTTTCTTTTTTTGGCAACGAAAAACAAATAGCGAACGACAAAAAGCACATGACCTGATTGGCTAGTGTAAAGAACATTGCCGATTTGTGTGTATGCTCAAAATTAGCATGTGATTTATGTGCATTTGTTTATCAGCTTACGATTTTAATCCTCGGCTATTTTTTGGAGTGAATCTTAATCACATTCGCACTGAGATCTATCCCATTACTTTTAGAGAAAACAATAACCGAATTATCCCCGTATTCAGAGTAAATTTCCCAAGCACCAAGTTTAACCGAAATACTACTCAACTCAAAGTCAACTCAAACCATGCAAAATGATTCTATAGAACCGATACACATACACGAAAATTGCTGAAATCTTATGCATAGCAATAAATCAATGCAGCGATTTAAAGCAACTTAAAATCCCATCGTATGCTTATAATATGTGTTTTTGTTGTTATCCACAGTTAAATTCATTATTTTTTATAATTTAATGAGATGAAATTTAAATGTGAACTCAACAAAAGCACACAAACAACAACTGGTTGGCATTTTTGATTTACTTACAAATGCCTATAAAAATGCAAACAAATGCCCAATGCAATTATCCACAATTGGCATTTTGCCTTTCTGAATTGCAAGCTTGAGGTAAGGCATGGTGAATGGTGCTTGGTGTATTTCTTAAGAGCGATCAACGAGTACAACGACAGAATAAAGGGAAAAACTTCAATGTGGAAATTAAACGCAATATAAAAAAAATTACGAGAACGATAAAAACCGGACTGGTTTCTGAATAGAATGGCTCCAGCTGTATTTTTTTATGTGCCTTTTCAAAATGGCAGCAATACAAAACATGCCCGATACTCTTTTTTTCTCCATTTTTTTTTATACGCACGAATTAAGTGCAAAGTAGAAAAAGAATTTTAATGTATAATATATAGAGAAAAAAAACGAAGAATAAAATAAAACTGACGCTGGTTGACGGCACAAAATGCAGATAAGACGGAATATTCGTTTTTTTTTTGTGTTCGTTGATCTTCCGATGTCTGTATGTGATCGCTAATTAGCGTTAACCCTCTTTTTCACTTGAATTCAGACCGTGCTTTTTTTGACGTGGTATCCGGAGGTTAGGTTACTAAAGGCCATTGTATAGAAGTATTCAATGCTTAAGCATACCTCTTCATCATCCAAGTTTCTCATGATTTTTTATTCTGCATGCGGCCATCTTACCCACCATAAAAATTGATATGATCGACAAGCTGTGTATTCAACGATGGGATTGTCGGCGACACAATTTGTCGCATCATCATCATCTTCGAATTGGATGATGAGAAAGGAAAAATTTGCATTCTCAAAAATAGCGACGAACTAATGATTCGCGAATAACCGAACGATAGATTCATATAATTGGATATAGCCTTATAAACATTAAGTCGATAAAATTTACTATTATGAAGTTAAATGGCAATTAAAATTAACGTATTGTGGATGTTGTCAGCTTAATTTCAGCGCCCGTGTGCAATTTAGCCACATTTTTTCTTCTTCTAATGGTTATGGATGTGATTTCATATGGTATGGCTGTGTACTGGCTGGTAGAAGTTCAGTGACAGCATGTCATTTGTAATTTATATTCATTTATTTACTCGGAAAATTATTATTGTGTCTGCATTTATAAATTGCCATTTGTTATGGTTATGTCAACAGTGATCGTATCATTTCATGATGTGTTTTTAAATTTATAGACTGGGGATATTCAGCATTTACCCGAAAAATAAAACTAACAACATACTCATTGAGCGAGCGCAAAAAAACAATACACTTCACTTAACTACGAACCATATAAAAATTATGTATTATTGTTATTATATTATGACACACAGAATCCATCCGATGACGATTCCATGCTTGCGACTCACACTTTTGCCCCATTTTAAATGCACTTTGGACCAATTCCAAATGTTGCGCATAAAATTTTCCGCAAATATAATCACTGCAATAGAAATGTGCTTCACTTTTTTTTCACTTGTGTTTATACACTTTCGAGAAGCATCTAATTTTCATGCATCACCGATGAGTGTCGGTGCGTATCCATGTATATCAAACAACAAGCGCAGAAGAGTTCATCCAACATTTGATGGGAGTTATAAAAAAACACACACAAGTTAAAATAAAATTGAGAGCCAACGAAAAATTATTGTGTGTTCATTTGTGAGCACTGAGCGCTTGAAGAGTGTAAAAGTTATAGCACAAAATTGAAATTTATTGTTATTATGCCCCGAACAATACTAATTTAACCAAGTCCAAAGCAAACATTCTGAGCCCAATGAGAGAAGCGCGTACAAACACACAAAATATAGTGTAAATTTGTTGTGCAATGTGGCGCAATCAGTAGCAACAGCAAGAGTCAGTAGCAGCAGAATAACGAAAGAAACACCATCAAGTTGAGTTTTGTGTGTCTCTTGTTCACCACCATATAACAATAAAAGTAATAACAATTTCGGTTTGCCGAAAATGAAATCAAGTAAAAATGGAATCAACTGGTCAGCCATTGTGATCGCGTCGGCGGAGGTGGCATTTGCATCGAATTTATATGCTCTGAAACGGGCACCACTCTTCATTCCACTCCGATTCCGATTGTCACGATGGACTTATCAGGCCGCTTCTTATTCTTTCTTTCTCGAGACATATTACCACTGTGTAGCGCGCCCTAAATTTCCAATCCACCCGCTTCTGTGTGTGTTGGTTTATTTTTTCGGCAGCGAGGCGCGTTCGTCTATTTTATTGAATCCAAATAACCCAGCAATCAAATTGGTCACCGACTGTAACACACCGAACACTCTCATTTGCACGTTTCGAGCATCGTAATAAAACTTATGGCTCTCACTTGGAACCAGCGCTAGCTGGCTGAAGAGTTTCTTTTTATGATATTTCGGCAGCGTTCGCGCGCGCGCGCGTCAATATTCCACATTAATTAATGAACAATATAATTTATATTATTTGTTTATTTTACATCTATTTATGCTTGGTAAATATGCTTAAGTGCAATAAACAATGCCAAGCCAAACGGATCCAGAAAGTGCGACGACGAGAGAAAAAGTATACAACGAACAAAAAACAACATCAACACGTGGAAGAATATGAAAAAAAAGAAAAAAAAGTATTTTTATGAATTATTTTGGTGGAGAAAAAGAAGCCAAAGCAAACAAGAGCGCATTTCACGAACATAAAAGCGTATATATGTGAAGTGTGTGTGTGTGTGTGTGTGTTGTTTTCGGGAGTGGAGATTACGTTTTTCATAGTTCATGCTCTATTACGTTGAAGATGATGAATCCAACCCACAAAATTACTTTTCAACCAAATCGTTTCGCAATGAACTCAAGAATTTCGACCATTTTCGTGGATTCTCAATCGGTTGGATGACGGATGGTTTCACATCAATTTTACCGACTTGATTTTATTGCATGAGAACTTAAGAACTCAATTCGATCAAAGAAAAATTTCTCAATAACATTACGACAAGTGACTAACAGTCCTTTAATCATTCGGCTAAGCGCCAACTCTAAACTTTGTATATTATGGGAAATGTGTCTGGCCGCAAAAAAAAATTATTATTCACAATGATTATTTTACATTTTTTTTTTTTTTTCGATAGTGGTGTGTTTCATTTTATTTGCGGTCAATAACAATAAAATGAGCACGATGAGATCCAAATAAGCGGACATTGGAAACGAAATATGACTGAATAGACAAAGTGATTTTAACAGCGGCGGTAAATTCATTTGATCGGTGTGATTGATTCATGTGATGATTCGAATGAAATCAATTTTATTTGTCACTGTCTAGTATTTGGAATCAAAGTCAACGCGAGGCTTGCTACATGATTGCTATGATGATTCGTTTGCGGATCTATCTGGCGCTAGAGTTAATTCATTTTTTATTGTTCGTACACAAGTTCGAGACCGAAAATAACGATTTTGTTAATGGAAAATCCACGTTATACGATTTTATATCACGTTTCCAGAACCTTTTTATCATTCGCCTTTGTTGATCTATGTTTGAGACAAATTTTTAGCCAAGAGCACGGAGATAACATTACAGACGACAGACAACACACTTTTTTTTGACGTGGAATTTGAATTTGTATTTAGCATATTTGGTAATCGTTTGTTGTCGGCAAAAACAAAGACACTACACAAAATAGACAAATGAAAAGAGAGAAGTGGAAAAAAATTGAGGTTTTATTGCTCCACTTGTACCAAATAAAAATTAAATTCACATAAACTTAATTATCGCAATATATTTTTCGTGCGGATCATTGTAATTGCTCGTGTGCTTATCGTGCGAACTCTTTTTTCGGGAAGTTATATCAACTAAGACAAACATTATAAACGGTTGTTTCAACAACAGAAATGATTCGTCTTTCTCTCTCTCTCTCTCTCTCTCTCTGTGTGTGTGTGTGTGTGTGTCTCGGTGATGTGTTCGCATTTCAGACAAGCTGGTCGTCTCTTGAATCATGGACTTCTCAGGCAGTTAGGCCCAATAAATTATTTCACCTTCTGGTAGTACAATCGAAAACGAAGGAGAGACAGATACATTTTTTTGCTCCCAAGGACACATTGAGATAACAATCTCTGTTTTATTCCAAACCGAGAATTGCAATCAATGATTTCGGAATCGATTCACTGATGTACAGTACACAATCTGTTGACAATACGTATACGTATTTTTCTACTTAGTTTTTGCTTTTTTTCGACAAGAAACAATTTATTTTAAGCTCGTGAGAGCATTTTTGTTTTTATTGAGAAATCCTCAACCTTTTTTAAGTGGATCCAATAGTCATAACATTTCGATTCAATAAATCATTCCCATTTTATTTCTGATTGAACTTTATAAATCAATAATTTGACGAGCTTCGCATTACTCATTCGGATTGTGATGCTAACGCCATCTGTTGAAAGTGTGACGCGTAAGTTCTATTGGTGTTAAGACTGATTCATATGATGGATATTTCGAATGTGATATGTGGATGAAGAAAATATTCACTCATTGTAAACAAATGATTCACATTTTCATTGAAACATTCAATGCATTTTACTTGTATCAACCTCTTTTATATTTTTTAGAATCGTTTAGAAGCATAAATGGCAAAAAAAAGAAAGGATTATCAGAAACACACTAAACGTTTATTTCAGTTTTGAATGTATTGTGTCAACCTTCATTGACCGACAACTTGGTTGCTATGGTTATCCAACTCGATACAAAATCCATAAACAGTCTTTTTTATAACATGGAAATTTTGTTTATTTCGCGTAATTCCCTTTCAACACTTTTCGTTTAAATTTCGTCTACCTCCATTGAAACGGTCATAAAGAAATAAATTTCCAAAATGCAGCGGCCAAACTTCCAAATGATTGAGGAGTTGCCGGAAAAGAATTACATGCGATTTGTTTCGCAATACAAATTGGATGATATGGTAACTACTTCGATTTGATTGAAATCAAAAGCAAGAAAATTAAATTTAACGAAGTAGAAACGTGTGCGAATTATTACATTTCATTCATATTCAATGGCTCATTTCAGATGGACAAACTAAAACTTTTAAACTACGAGGAGACCCTGTTGAAAGAAATGAAAATGAAGCCGTTGAGTCGATACTACTTTTTGAACTCGACTAACCCCGGCGAGCAATTTTTTATGTTTACATCTTTGTGTGCGTTTTGCGCACGAAAAATGGGTAAAGACTTTGAGCAACCAGAGGAGTTTATGGATCCAACGCAGCTAGTTTCGAAAATCATGCAACTTCTACAGGAATTGGTAATGAAATCATGAAAAACCATTTCTGTTAAAAACTAGTCTGTGGTTGAAACCAACAAAAAAATAATTAATTTGATGCCAATGTTTGCTTTCAATCCATTTCCACCACAGGATATATCCACCGATTTTCCAGGCAACAAACTGATGCAAGGAGCTGGTTTCGTGTGTCATTTCATTTTGGATTGCTTGGCAACACACGCACTCAAAGTGACTCGGCCGAATTTGGGACGTCCCGAAATCAAAACCGACGATGACATCAAGGCGGAAATAGTGGAGAATAACAATGAGATTATTTTAGAAAAGGTAGAAGAGGAGCAGTATGCCATGTTCCATTCGGATGAAGACTTGGATGATGACGACGATGACGAGATTGACATCGCTGGCCGTTTGAATTTGCGTGAAAATATGAAAATTCGCGATTTATCGGCGGCACATAAAGAAGAGAATGCCGAAAAAGGCAGTATGCTAACCGGTGAAATGTGGAAAATGGAAATGGAACGAGCGTTGCCCAGACTAAAAATTGTCGTTAAATCCGATATGAAGGACTGGCGCGCTCGATGGGATCAAATGAAAGTGTGTCGCGAGAATATCAACTCGGTTTGTTTGACATTTGGTGCATTTTGTGGCGAAATGAAGAAATTGCACCGGATTTTTTTATTTTATTTTTTTCGTTTCTTTCAGCTCTCAGACAACACTCAATCGCAATTGAAAAAGATTCAGCACGACGTGACATTTGCCATGGACAAGATTGAAAGCCGTGAAAAACATTTGAACAATGACCTGCGACAAATGATAGAGCAATACAAAAATATCTCCATCGATCAAGCACATCAAATGACACAATTGAAACAAGCACAGTCGGAAGTGGCCGAGTTTGAGAAGCTGTTCGATCGATTGAATCATGAATATGAATCGATAAAGATGCAAATGGAACAACGTGGACAAACAATGTCTGACGGCAGTCCATTGATCAATTTGAAGAAGGCAATTGCTCGCATCAAAGAAGAAATTATTCAAATGAACCTGGAGATTAGCGTAATGCAACACTCAATTGACCATGATTTTATTAGAGAGAATGCTCTGTTTTCACTTATTAAAAGCTAATGAAATGAAGCTCTGTTTTTGGGTTTTTCTAGAACATTTTTGAAAAAAAGGCTGAATTGCTTTGATTCTAGTAGATCATGTTTCGTATCAATACAAAATATAATTGTAATTGAAACATAAAAAAATCAATGAATAAAATGATTGCAACTAAAAGAAAATCATTTACGAAATTTCAATTGAATTTCGAATACGAATTCACCTCACCAGCTCCACCTTCAGTCAATTTGATTTTCGAATGAAAACCTAGTTCGCCTAATGGATGACAGATGTCAGTTTCAACGCACAATTTTAGCGCGAAACGTTTGACAGCAAAGTTAACAACACACAACACGAAGTAAAATATTTTGATTTTTGTGATTGAATGAAAATATGAAATATTCGGTATAATTTTGTGAGTTTAACTAAATTGCTATCAACATGGATTATCCAACGGAAGAAGAGATGGCTGAATTCTGTAAGTAAATTCAAAAAAACTTTGCCCAAAGTGTTGTTGATGTAAATTGTCGAATGTGTTATTGATGTGACTTTGTATGCATTGTAGATGAATACGCTGCAGGGCAGTCGAATCAGCCACAATCTCAGCCGCAATCACAGCTTGAATCATTGCCACCATCGCAGCCATCGTCGCAAGCATTTCCAATGGGAAAAGATACACCCACATCAAATCGTGGTGAACACAGTTTTTTCCAGAATAATTCCCAACTCTCGCAAATTCCAGCCAATGACACGGCTGTGAATCGTCGCCTCTTTGGCACACCATTGAATTCGAACCTTTCCAATCGAGTGGCTTCAACTCCGTTCATAACAAATGTGATTGATGATCCGAACTCATATCATTTTCGTTTTGACGATGAGGAATTTGAAAATAACCTACCACCAACTGAGCTAAATCCACGCAAACGTCGCTTAGACGATTTATTTGGTGATATTGATGACATCATCCAAGAAGAAAAAAATCCAGCACAAGTCTTTTACTCCGTGGATGTGGAGGAACATGCGAAGAAAAAGGCTCGATCAGAAGAAGATCAGGATAATGCGTTGATTGACCGAATTTTGGCCGCTCGAGCCGAACAACTTGTACGCAACAACAATTTCACGAAGCAATCGAAATTGCAGCAACTCGAAATGTTGCATAAATTTAAAGCGAGGAATTTGTCAGAAACATATCCACAGTGGCCGTGCATCCCAGTTATGGCCGATCGCAACAGAATCTATGTGCGAATGCATTCGGAGGAATTTGAAAAGAATCAACTGAATGAGTTGACGCTTCGGAAGAGTTTCGGCAAATTGCTGGGTGATAACAGTGAAGATGTCTGGAATGAAGCACAGACAATTGTTGAAAAACGCATGACCGCTGCTCAATCGCAAGGGAATCAATTGAGTGAAATCGATACAGCTGTCATAATTCACGAAGCAAATCCGAGAGGTGGCAAACTTTGGGTCGAAAAATACAAGCCAAAAGGTTACTTCGATCTATTGTCGGACGAATCAACCAATCGCAGCCTTTTGATTTGGCTGAAAATGTGGGACAAAATCGTATTTGGCAGGTGAGTGAACATAATGTGAATGACATTGAATCCGAGACTTATGAGATATTTGGATTTTAGAGAATTTCAACAAGAGAAAAACTTGACAAATCAACAGAAGAATGCAGCGAGCAATTTTAACCGAAAAACTGGCCGATTCGAAGTTGGAAGCGTTCGATTCCGTAAACATCGTCCAAATGACTTGAAAACTGAGACTGATGCCCACGGACGACCCATTCAAAAGATTGCTGTCCTTTGTGGACCACCAGGTAGATATTTTGAAATCATATGAGCCCAAAAATTATAATTTCTCATATATTTATTTCAATCATCATTTACAACATTCTTATTCATAAATTGTTTCATCGCCTACTTCGAATAGGTTTGGGTAAAACAACATTGGCACACACAATTGCACGTCATGCGGGCTACACTGTGCGTGAAATAAATGCATCGGATGATCGAAGCCCGGAAAGTTTTCGGCTGGCTCTACAAAACGGAACTGAAATGCAGACCACATTGTTGGATCAAGAGAAACGGCCAAATTGCATAATTCTCGGTATGACTTTTGTTATTTTAAAAAAAAGAGCGATTAATCGGAAATGGTGATTAAAATGTCATGTATTTGAATAATTTAGATGAGATTGACGGTGCACCTTTGGCTTCTATTGAATTTCTGTTGAAATTCATAAGCGATCAAACGAAAGAGACGAAGAAAGCGAAAGCTGCTGCCGTAGCCGACAAAACGGGTAAAAAACCAAAAGCCAGCGGTATATTGCGTCGTCCGATAATTTGCATTTGTAATGATATTTATGCACCATCATTGCGTCCGCTACGTCAGGTAGCCTTCATTGTGACATTTCCTCCATTGGACAGTGGTCGGCTTGCCGAACGTTTGCTAACGATCGCCCGAAAGGAAAGACTCCGTACTGATATGACAACCTTAATGGCCTTGGCGGAAAAGTCCGGCAACGATGTACGCTCATGCATTTCAGTGTTGCAATTCTTTGCCAACAGTCATAAACCACTCGAATTGATTGATGTTATGAAATCGAATATTGGTGAAAAAGACAGGCAGAAGGGTTTGTTTGAAATTTGGTCGTCGGTCTTTCAAATTCATCGTTTCAAAGAAGGTTTCGATCCGGTGCAGAGCAAAGCAATCGGAGTAAATTTGAATACAACAGTTCAAGTGCCACAAACTGTTGATACTTCGATGCGGTCACGAGTAGAGCATGTGCTGAACGTTGTTCATATGGGCGGTGATGGCGACAGGTAATTAACGATAAATTACTGCTAATTTTTGTTGTTGTTGCTTCATAACCGTTTTATTCACTTAATTCTAGGCTTATCAATGGCGTTTTCGAAAATTATTTGTCACAAAAATCCGATGGAAACTTTTTAAGCATTACCGAAGCCGGCGAATGGTTTTGTTTCAGCGATTTACTGAACACACACATACAGACGCTACAAAATTACACCGTTTATCCGTACCTACCGTATGGATTTGTCGCATGGCATCTCTTATTCGCTGGCATTTCATGGCCTAAAATCACTTTTCCCACGCAAGGCTATGAGGTAAATAGATTTTTTGTACACAAAGTCAACAATATTGAAGTATTAAACACGTGTTTCAATAGCCACACCAGATTCTTGCTCATAAAATGAATTTATATCTATCATTAAAAGAAGCATTCATCTTGTTATGAATGAAGGGAGAGAGTGATTGAGTGAATGAGAGAGTAACAAGCGAGTGTGTTGAGTTTGACACATGAACTCATTCTGCAGGTCATTAAAATTTTTAAACACAAGCTTTGCTTACATTTCCAAGAATGTCATTGAAATGGGAATTCCGCACAGGTTATCTCACTCTTTAACTTTAATGAATTTTGCATAACCAGCTTTGTATGTCGTTTTTTTCTTCTTTTTCGTGCGTGAGGACAAGTGTTTTCCAACATGAAACCCATTAATATGAAATAAGTTTTTGTGACAATGTCAATTTCTTTTCATGTGAACTCAATTTTACTCATTTTTTGCTCTTCTTTGGCTTTTCGTCTCACAGTATTATCAAAAGTCGATGACACAAAAGACAATTCGTGCGTCATTCATCAAGAATTTGTCGGTGATGGTTCGTAGCTTGGCAAACAGTCCAACGATTATATCAGATGCTGTGGCAATCATACGGCAAATCATTTGTCCTTCACTGCGTTCGGTGTCACTTCAGCTGCTCTCACCAAAGTGAGTTGAAAAAAAATGAAATCATTCTACATTTTTCTCTTTTTTTAAATTTATTTTTGTTTGTTTAGAAAAGTTCTTATCATTTTCAATTAATTAAAATGTCCAATTAATTTCATCGCACATAGAGAACGAGCTGATTTGGTGCATACGGTCGATGTTATGGTTGATTTGGGATTAACCTATTTGCAAACGAAAAACCCAGACGGAACGTATCAATATCAAATTGAACCTAACATCAATTTTCTATGCAATTTCAAAGGTGTTTTGAATGTTAATCAACTTGGAAATGACCAGAAAATGGCTCTTTCGATTATTTATTGTTGTTGTTGTTTTCTTTTTTATTCGCAGTTAATCAACGAACCAACGAACTGACCTATTCTAATATGCAGATTATAGCACGTGAAGTCGAATTGCAAACAATGAGACGGTCAGCACCGAAAAATAGCGCTGCAAATCCAATCAAACCGAACAAAGCACCACAAAAACCAAAACCGCAAAATCACTTGCAAAGATTGAACACGAAGTCTGTGTCGGGCACAAAAACAAAAGATCTGGTACGTTACATTTTGTTTCGGTTTTTGTTTTTCTTTTCTTTTCCAAACAGATGGAATTATTTTGTTTTGAAAACTAGCAAAATATAATGATTACATTTTATTCGCACGTATTAATAATGAACTTTAACACACACCGCTGATAACAAGTGTCACATCACTTTTATACACGAACAGAAAAAAAATCATCTGGAAGCAAAAATTTTATATGAAATATCGTTTAATCTGAAAAACGAACAAAATACTCTTTAGTTCGAACTTTTTTTATTTCTGGAAATAACCGGTTTGTTGCACATTTTCCTTAAAAATATTTCATTCAACACTATCAAATCATTTTGCTAGTCATGTCTCCTCGATGAAACAAAACGCTCCAATTTTCTATGGTTTATAACCATGACAGCAATCACACATGACCTGTTTTAAACAGAAGAGAAAATAAAATGAGGGTTAATAACATTCAAAAAGATTACACGAATTGAAACAAAAAAAAATAACAAAAACAAACAAATTGAAAATGTTCAAAAACTTGGGAAAAATTTTAAGAAGAGGAAAAACAATCCAGAATCAAAAATTGACAAAATTAAAAAAAAAAATGAAGAAAAAATCCAAAAATCAAAGAAATAAATGACAAAAAAACTCAATTCAAGTTCAACTCACCCAAAACAGAACGTAATGCATACATAACAAACCGGCTGCAAGGAAGCAAAGGAATTTCATTGTGGCACATAACCGGGGTGAAGAATCGGCTTTCGTAAATCAATAACAAACACACGGTTCTCGGTTCGTTAACAAAAATCGGTGTGATACGTGTCACTTGCGACGATATTTATTCGCTTCTGATGCGAAAATCGGAATATCAATGCTCTTTGTACCAACGTCAAATTACTACTTCGTTACTTCCGAAGCATCAACGGAAACGAAGCATCTCGGTTTTGTTTTTCGTTTTATGATCACGTCGCTGCGCTGATAAATCGAACAAGTTTAGACTACGCTTGTGTGTTATCACGAATCACGAGTGATTTTCAAATGTGATCTGTGCGGTCACTTGATAACCCATCATAAATCAAATGCAATTGTGCAGTATGCCCGTGACAAGGTCTGGCATTCACGATTTTGGCTGAAACAGAAGACACGAGTCGTATTAAAACATCAGAAATAGAACAAGAGAAATGAGGTTACACAATTTTGCACTGATTAATTTAAGAAATTTTTCCATAAAATCAAAAAAATCCAGAGCATTCATCTGATCGGCTATAAATAAATGAAATGAAGTGTTGCGTTGTATATTGTTTGCATCATAGAGCCTATTAAAATTATCGCATTGCGTTCTTAAAGGTCTATCGTGACCTTTTCATATGACTTAATCAGTTCGAACTTTATCTACTTCTTGTTTGTGTCTCTGTGACTGGAATAACGAGTCAATTTTTCGGTCATAGAATTGAGTTCATATTAACCGTATCATTTGGATAGTCGTTTAACTGTTTCGTATTTTTTGCAGGTGACGAAGGATTTCTTTGGCCGTATAACGGAGAAGCGGATAGCATTGCCGGTGCAAGAGGGTGGACGTGATCAAATAGTGAAGAGTCCAATTTGGTATCGGTATAAGGAAGGATTCAACAATGCCGTGCGCAAGGATGTGACATTGCAAAGTTTACTCTAAATAGCCATTCTATATCGTTTTGGGTAACGTGTCGACAAATCCCCGACCAATTAAAGTTTTCCATATTTATTATCTTTCGTTTAGCTCTAGTGGATTTTCGCAACAACAAAAACATAAAAACCGAAAACAACAGCAAAAATCAAAAGACCTTGTGAACCTAAATAATATTTTAAATAAAATTACGGAAAATTAAATATATTATTCTAATTGAAATCATTCGTTCTTGAAAGCATCTAGACATGAGTGTGCTAAACTAGGGTGGCTGATGGAAGTGTTTTGCATAGAAAGTGGATCACACAAGTGCGGGCCTCTTCTCTCGCTTCAACTACCGTATAATTTCTGTGTGTGTTTTTTTTCTTCGCTAAATGGAACATATTTAATAACAAATCGTATAATCAGAACACACGCTATCCGTATAATTTTTTCTTGCTGGTTCTTTTTTTTGGCGTGGCGAAAAAGTTTTCGATGAAAAGAGTAATCACGTGGGAAATTCAATCCAATTCCAATTTACTCATTTACAGCGTAAACGATATGATACGAGTTGTTTACTTGGGCTGCATTATTATTCTCATTACGTTTCGTTCCGAATAAATGCACCACAAGCACCAGAGCAGTGGCAACAGTGAGTGGAGAGAGTGAGCGAGTGAATTTGTTTAGCATTGTTCGCCCGTGTGTGTATGTGTTTGTGGTATATATCGTGTTCGTTTTGCCATTGGCTGCCAAACAAAACGAACAAGAGAAACATCAATTTCAATTCCAACGTTGAAACTTCGTTGTTTGTATCCAATTCGTTATTCGTTCCGTGTGTGTGTGTGTGTGTGTGTGTCAGTGTATGTGCCCGTTCATCTCCCTCACTCTCCTTCCCTCCTTTACCATGTGCAATTCCGAACGAGAGTTTATACATTCTGTTCATTGTTTGGCCAATATAAATATTCAGTGCCATATGTGAGAAGCCATGTGATACACGACTCTCCATATCTCCAGTAGCACAGATCCCAATGTAATAGCCGGGCAACAGCAGCAACTGTTCGTATTCAATTACCGCAAAAATGGAAAAAGTTAAATAGCAAATTCCATTTAAGAAACAACAAATACACATTTTTCTTTCACCACTCGGTTCTGTTCTGCTCTCTCTCTCCCCACCCAATCGATCCACTGCACATCCAATGGTGGATTCACGATTCGAGAGAAATGAATGTGCAACTGTACTCCATTTTTCAGTATATTACTTTTCTCACTGTCTCTCTCTCGCTCACTTACTCGCATTCGCTCGAAGTTTTCAATTCAATTTCAAACTCTTTTGCTCTGAATCGTATCGTTCCTCCATTTTCACGATTTCTTTTCTTCTCTTGAGGATTCATTTAAATTCCATTCTTTGTTCGGCGTAATCGATGCAGAATGGCTGTACTTGGCGTCCAACCCATTACTTGCAAATTGAGACTCAACACTATAACTACGGGCACGGCCGACCTGCGATATGGATGATGATGATGATGATGACTTGATTGTTGATTAAAAATGCAAGGACTATGGGTGTGTGTGTGTATGCGGTGCTAAAGCGAATGTGAATGTGGCGTACACAGACATTGAGTAACCACTCCATTAAATTTTCATTAACAGATGCAGTGCCAAGAAGTTGAAGCATCAATACACAACATAGTTATCTAATCATGGAACTGAATTGACAAAATGCTTAACGATCACCGGAATCACATTTCGAAACCAATGAATGATTAAAGACGTCCGTAATGAGAAAAACGATAAAATAAAAGATTTAAATGTTTCCGAATCCAAATGAATCAATTTAGCAACAGCAGCAGCAGCAGCAGCAGCAGCGGCACCGACAAAACGCAGCAGCGCGCTATTCATTCGACAGCTAAACATAAATTGAATGTGAAAAGCCAGAGGGAGAGATTTAGTTCAGTATGAATGGAAGTCGAATACAAAAATGCGGAAAAGCGGTGCAAAATCTAATGGAAGTAAATGAAACGAAATGGAATGTGCACGTAAATAAAAATATCGACCGAAACCGGAGATCAAGTATCGTCTTTACATTTTTGCAGTCACATCTGCAAGCGCTGTTTTATACAATAAACGAGGATGCGATTGAGAGGTTTGAGGCGAGAGGTGAATTTGATAACACAACACAGTACAATAGACGCGCAAAGCACATAGTATACATTTCCACCGACCAAAAAATCAAGTAATATATACAGGAGATGCTGTTACCACGTACAATGAAATCTTTTATACGATTTTGGTGGTTCTAATCGCTTTGTTTTTATTTCACTCTCTCTAAATGGCGTCCGGAAGTATATTCCGAATGCTTAGTTGTGCTATTCAATGTGTTATAACATTACATCTTCGAATATTGAGTTACTCAAAAGCGTTTTGTGCTGTACGATTACACAGCGCGCTCACACACGGAATCAGTTTGAGCGATAATAATTTTCGGCTTTTCCGGTGCTGCTCATGGTCGGTGTGTGTGTGCGTGTTGTGCAGCACTCACTTCGGTCGACGATTTCCATTGGTAAGTAATGTATACGACGAGATAAAATGATGATACTTAAGTGGTAATAATTCAGAGCAAATGTTAAAATTGCTAGGGAAGTGAAATCGCAACGCGCTAAATGTGATTCTCATACAAGATGAGCGTGAATTGTAGTCAGTGAGCAAAAGGAAAAAAGAGTCAATTCAAGCGGATTACAGAAGCGGTAAAGTATATCCAATATCATTTAAACGTCTTTTTGGTGCATCCTTTTGGCTGAGCAATTAGCTGAATATTATGGAAAGACCAAGCTTTTTAGCATTTGAAATTGCTGGTTTACCTCGGGCCAGTCAGCAGGACTGGCAGCCACCATCTCACCACCACTGTTCACGTTAAAAATTACATTAAAAGGTTACCAACGAACTGTTCTCAGAAAAGCTAAGAAAATTAACAAACGAGCGAGTGAGCGAGCGAACGGGTGCGCGTGGCACGCTCTACAGCGAAATTACAATGTCCATCATTTCATACAAATTTATTACGTTTCATTTACTTAGCGACTGGTAAATGACGGTGAAAATGCACAATAAACAAAACGACAGCGCTCTTTCTCTCGCTCAAGCATTCCACAGCTTTGCACAAAATTTCCATTTTGCCAAAGTGTGTATCGGCATTTTGCCACCCTTTGTGAAATAAATATATGTACGGTGCTGCATCAAAGTGGCTAGAGTACAAGGGCATATTCTAATTTGAATAGCTAAGTATTTTGCAGGAGCGGTTCGCAACTCTGAGCACAACATGAAAATGTGCATACATTTAATGCAAGTCACAGTCGTATATTGTTTTTTGCTGCTTCTGTTTCTTTGTTTTTGCTTTGTTGTCGGCATTTTTTGCTTCGGGTGGTTGGGTGTTTTCGCGACTAAATAAATTGGGCAAAAGTCCGTTGCTGATTTTGATCGATAGTCAGCAACCGAATCAGCCATAATCCATATGATATGCTTTGCATATATGTACAAATGATTGTTTATTGATTTGACTTGGTGCATTTCGTCTGCTGTGGTGAGTGTGAATAATAATCTGCTTTCACTTAATTATACGGCCTGTATTGCGCTCGAATTCCGGAAACAATGGCACACACAGTGGCCGGTGTGACCGCGTATCCCACTCACTGTTGTTTGTCGTTGTCGTCGTCGTCGATTTTCGGTCGATTTGTTTCGGCGAGACATACAGCGAGCACCAATCATGCGATACAGTCGTACATAGAGGCTGTGTAATACAGCGAAACAGTGCGAGAATGTCGGCTATCAATGGCGAAATATATGGCCTGTCTTCATTCACGAAATATGCGCTGTGAAAAAATGCGACCACCGTTGTCGTTGTCGTCGCTGTTGCTGTCCGTCACAAAGGGTAGAGAGTTGTTGCACCATAAACTATCCATAAGTGGCAGTTGAACTATCCACAGCAATTGAGTAATGTGCTAGTCGGCACTTAATCATAAATAATCATACATTTTGACTCATGAATAAAAGCCAATATATTGCCTTCACACGCGGATTGCAGGCGAAGCACGTGGAATGCTTAGTGACCAAATTGTTTATCTATTTCGCTTTTTTTCATTGCATGAGCCCTAAGTAAATAGCAGACGGGAAAGAGAAAGAAAAGGAAAGAAGCAAAAACAACAAAAAAGCGAATGAATTAATATGTTTCGAAAGAAAGACCTTGAACCTCTATCGAGTTAGAAAGCACAAATGTTATCATAGTATGAGTGCGTAGTGTTTTTTGTCCTATTCGGCATTTTTGTTACTTTGCTCTGTGCCATTGGAAATACAAGCTACCAGAATTCATATATGCATAGCAGTCGCGCGCGCAAAAAGGATCAAAGCTTTATGACAAGTCGAGGCAATGAGAAATGCTGCAAGTTTTCAATTCAGCTTTTGCTTTTCTTTTTTCCTTTTTCTTCATTTGCTTCACATAAAGTCGAAAGCCGCTTGCCCCGCGCTGACAAATAAAGAGTGGCAACAATCACAGCTACTTCAGTTCGGGGCGCACTTACAGCTATTGGACCGAGTCCAATGCCATATGAAGCGTGTTTAACACCATTAACATATTTTAATTTTTTTTCCCTCTTTTGTTTCGTTTCATTTTCATCGTCATCGTCGCCGTTGTTGTCGTCGACCATGTCGTCTGTGTGCTTTCATTTTCTTTGTCCAACTTTTCTTTCCGAATGAATTGAGCATACCCCGCTGTCGCAGAAACGAAGCAAAGTAAAGAAAATTAAGACCGATTGACTCAAGTGTTTTGATTTCTTTGTGTTGTATGTTGTTGTGAATGTACAACTTTATTTCTTTTTGTCTCGAATCGCGTTAGAGACTGGTGAAACTGACCCAGGTGGAAATTGCAAGCACATAGCAAAAACTATGTGAACAATTGGCTTTTTGGACTTTGTATGAACGGAACAATTGTTTAATGTTATGCATATTTTATGAATACCACCACCAGTCATACCCATATGGCTGTGTGTGTATGTAGGAAAGAACCCTTTCTTTCGGTCGACTGCGATCGACAATCATATTATACTAATAAACGTGGAGCACGTAATATGCGTTGGTTCTCACGTTTTGCGTTCAATATTTATGTAAATGCTGAGTGTTAGTTACTCAATGGAGCCACTTGAACTCGAGCTTAATGTAATATATAGCCAAGCGATTTCTTAGTTCATGTGTTCTTTTTTGCTATGTTATGTAAAATATATGTGATTTCATTTGAATGGAAAGAGCGAAAAATCGAATATGCGACACAACGCACCATACTCACATACCATAAAGGAATATGGCGTTGCGAAAGAGAAAGCTGAACTGTGAATGAGAGTAAGAGTAGAAACGTACGGTAATTTTCATTTTTTTTCGCCTCAGTTTTATTTGTCGTGGAAAATATTAAGAAAGTTTCAGTTCATGGTGTGTGGAGAGCAAGAATGTTTTGCGGACATTCGGAACGACATATGCACGAACACATCAACCGCTTTCGTTGTTGCTTGGCTCGCGCGTACATACATAATCATAATTTAAGAAAGAAGGAAAAAGACGGCAATGTGAACGTGCGAAAAAAAATCCGTTGATCCATTTTTCGTCTATGTATTTGTTTGTCGACAAACCGTGTTCGATGCCAATTGAATGAAGGATGGAATGAAACGGCAAATCACTTGGCACTCGTTCACCTCATAGTTGAGAGAGCCAAGAGAGCCAAAAAACTATTTGCCTATATGTGCACCAGTTCGAACTACCACACCATGGAATCGAGAAATACACACTTGATTCGATGGAAATCACCCCGTTGTGGCCGATTTAAAATGGATTCGTTTCAGTTGGTTGGCCGTCAGTTTGAAATGAGTATGCCTCCGATGTGGTCGCAAAGCATTTTTAAACTCTTATTACTGATTGTTGTTGTCGCGCACGCACCAATGCAAATTCAAATATTCATCAAGTAAAACGCAAACTAGAATCCACAATTAAATGTACACTTATTGTAATTGAGGTGTGATTTATTTGGAGAACGAAAAGGAAAACAGAAAACGAAACAAAACACAATTGTTTAACGAAAATTTATTATACACGAAAATTTCAAAGGAAAAAACCCAATGTGAAAATCGGTGGCAAAATTTAGAGCAAGAAACAAAAAGAACAGTGAGAAAAAAATCGAATTTTCATAAATTATGAACAAATCACTCAATTAATCCTGCAGTTACACTTGTGGCAACTAAGTGACTATTACATTGTAAGAAGTGAGACATTTCACTTGTATTTTGTAAACGAAGTGATACATAAAATCCGTGCATTTCGATTCGAAGACACGATAACAATATACGAATTAATAAAACGGAACGGGAACGATTTCCAATTTCCGCCCCGTTCATTATCTTATCTTAATTTAGATTTTGATTTGAATAAATTACGTGTAAAGTGTGTGCGAGCAAAGGAATCAACGAGCAAGTGACAGATACACAGCACCAGCAACAATGTGGTACAATTCGAGTCATCAAGGTTGGGGTAGCAAAGCCGTTGGTCGAAATACATCAATCGTTGATGCTGATGTAACCCCATCGTCGCCGATCAAACCAAGCGCTGGCCGCATTATACGCATCGTTAATAATATGGATCAAAGTGTACAGGTATGGCATGCAATGACACGTTACATAAGTTGGAATAGGAATTTTGCGTGATTTCTTTTGACCGTTTTTGTTTTTGTTTTGCTTAGTCGTTTACTTTTGATTTTTGTGTTTTTGTTTTACCTGCAAGAGCTGTGTGTGTGTGTCGCCAGCTCACGCTGATTTTTCCACGTTCACATATTTTTCTCTACTCGATTTTTCTCTCTGTTGTTATTGTCGTATTTCTTTGCTGTAATTTCGAGTCTAATGCGATTAAAATAACTAATTTTGTGCGCGATTTGGTGTCGATTTAGTGTCGTGTATTGCTCAATCTACGCACATCACAGCCATTTGAGGAGGTGCTCGAGGACTTGGGTCAAGTGTTAAAAATGAGTGGTACCAAGCGGATGTATACATCGGATGGTGAAGAAGTGTATAGTTTTTCACAGCTACGCAATGAATACGCCGGTTTGTGAATTTGAATTTTGTGAGCATTTTCAATTGAATTTGATAAGTAATAAGTTTTATGGATTTGATTATCCAATGGATTAGATGTGGAGACATTCTACCTGGACTCCGGTGCCCGTGCCATTTCGCCAATTTCAATGATTCCAGCTGCCTCACCATTGCGACGATCTCGATCCAGCAATGGCATCATGAACACAGTCATACAAAATGATGCGCCAGTTCGGCAGCGCGCACGAAGCAAAAGCCGTCCTCGTACTCTCTACGCCACAGAAAGTATGGAAAGTCGGCCGGTGAATGGAGGTAAGCGTTGATCTTGTTTAGGCTTTTAATTTTTTTTGTTCGACACTAATTAAGTAATAAACTGCATAGCGAAAAGAAGTTTCGAACAAAATGTACACACCAATTGTTTGGTAAAATTAAGATTTTACGCACGGTATTTAGCGTTGATGATATCGCGACACTCATGAAAACCGACTCTAATGATGATTGCCATTTAATTGCGTTCCTGCAACTCTCCTCCTTTTCACTCACCACACTCTTTTTTTCTGGTCTTGTTACTATCGTTTAAATCAGTAGACTATTCATCATCCGATTACGTTAAGGAAGAACCAATCAAGCTAAGCATTCGCGGTCTGAGACGAACATTTTATCCACCAAATCAGCATGTAGTAATTGATAATTCGCCACCAGACAAGAAATTGAAATTACAATGGGTTCATGGCTATCGAGGTCGCGATACCACAAAAAATCTGTGGGTACTACCATCGGGCGAAATGCTTTACTATGTAGCTGCCGTTGCAATACTATATGATCGCGACGAAGGAACGCAACGCCACTACACTGGACACACCGAAGACATAATGACGTGAGTAGTTTACTATGCATTTGCTCGGGCTGATTTTATCATCTACCAAACGAATAACGGAAACATCGCAAATTTGCAACTCATTTGTAAATTTTTTTTCCTCTCTCTCCCTCTCTTGCATTCTTCTGCATTGTTCAAACAAATACCCACATACAGAATGGACGTTCATCCATCACGAGAATTGGTTGCATCAGGTCAACGTGCCGGTGCCGATCGAAAGTCACAAGCGCACGTTCGCATTTGGAGTACGGATTCATTGCAAACACTTTACGTTTTTGGAATGGGTGAATTAATTGGTGGCGTGACTTCGGTCGCATTCTCTCAGCTGGTAAACGATTATTACTACACACAATAACACTCGACCGAGCGATCAAAATGACCATAAAATGTTTCTAACGTAAATTTGTAAATTTTCGAATTTCGAACCATTTCAATAGAATGGCGGTAGTTACATATTGGCCACAGATGCAAGTGCAGATTCGATACTGAGCGTTTGGCAATGGCAATGGGGTCATCTATTAGGAAAAGTTGCCGTAAGTATTACCATTTCGTTCTATTTATTTATTTTTATGAATGTTTTGATTCATCGAGATAAAGAACACGGTTATAGTCACAAACGGCGAATCAGTAACCAGGTGACGTGAAAGCGTAGCTATTTATATACCCAATTTTAATTGTGCGCGACTGAAATAATAATGAAAAATAAACGCGGCAAAACAGTCCGAATTTGAACATAAAATGCCATTAAGTGGCCATCACAAGACGAAAATAAAGTTTCTCTGGTCGAAAAAAAGCTGTAGAACATATTTTCACGGCAACCAAACGATAACCACAACCAAGTCTTACAATACGCGACCAAAGCATATTCTGACCGAACCATGCCAACATCGTTTGAATCCATACAGCTTTTAATACACATTTTACTACGTCATTTTCAATATAAATCATACTCATAAAATGCCATAAAAAGCCCGTTTCTTCGCCACTTATTCGGTTTTACCATTTCGTCTAATAATCATAATAATCATTTCAGTAGCCATGCGAAAAAACCGTTCGTTTATACATATAATTTAAAATTCTGTGGAAAGTCTCTGGAACAGGGTGGACGTGTGTGTGTCGGAGGGGAGGGAGGGATTGGGTTAAAGAGAGAGAGAGAGTTGCAAAACTGAACAACAAGAAATGAAAATGAAATGTTGTGTACTGCCTTATGTGGGACTCCACGACAAACAGCAGCGATACAAGCAATCACAAAGTTCATGATATACTTCGAATGAATGGAGTGAGTGAGTTTGCTCGATTGGATTGGTTTGAAAAACAACATCGCACGCGATATTTTTTCGGAATTTCCATGATTTTTTTGCTTCTGCTTCTATCGGAAAAACCACACATTGGATTCCATTTCGCTTTGTTTTCCATTCCATACATATTTCGATAGTCACACGTCTTTTTGTACAGACTTTCCTCCTTTTTTTTACTATCGCTCTCCTTTTGTATGTACCAGAGTAATGCAGAAACTATGCCAAAACCGATTATGATACTTTGTCGGTCGAACGGAATGTTTGCATTTAATTTGCTAAAGGACTCATATGTGTTTATGTTCCTGTGTGCTGCTGTTGATTTACTCATTATAACTTTCGTTCTCTTGCATACAAACAAAACGGCTCGATCCATTATGGATATTGCAGTGAATGGTCAACGTTAGAAGACTTTTCAGACTGCCGTCGAATGTAAATAGAAAATACGACAAGAAAAATATGAAACGGCCGTGAAACACACACACACACACACACACACGTGCATGAGGCCCATTCATATGGTATTATAAAGGAAGGAACGGCTTCACTTTCAAAAAACCGTTTACGGGTCGGTTTTTTTTTTGTTCTTTTTTTTCTTTTTCGGTTGATGCAAATGGTATTGTTTTTGGTTCGGCGCCGCTTACAACGTTTTCGACGATTCGCAATTAGCATTTTCCGATTCAATCTAATGTTATTTCCACTTTCGATTTCAATCAATTGTTTTTATGTTCTGATAACATGCTATCTCCATGATATGCCAGTAAATGGCCGAAAATTCACCGCATAATAGATGGTAATAAATTTATGTGCTTCTCTACCCACTGCAAGGCGATGACTCATAACCATTTATGATGAATCATCATTGATGATCAGTAGCTGGAAATTGAGTTATTTGAAATCGAATTTGAATGGCAATTTAAGTGCATATATCGACCTTTAAACACATTTTGCTACAAAACAACTAGAACATCAAGAGTTGTTTTGTGATTACTTCATATCCATTGCGATCGTGTTGTATTCGCTCGACCATCAAATCAGTGATATCAGAAGAGTTTATGCTTCGAAATAATAAAATGAAATAAAATTCACGCCTCAATCACAATGCAAACTCACACACACACACACTCGCAAGCGTGGGGTGGTAACCATCCACCATGATTTTTGTTTATTTCGGGTGGCACCTTGATATGAGTAATTGCCACATACGTAAATGGATAATGGCTTTCACATTCATATTAGTTTTTAATAAACATTTTGGGTGAAAGTGTTACAGGCTCTTACAGATTTATGATTTCATTCGATAACAATGAAATATGAGAGTTTGATTCATTGCGTGGCGGTGGGGATCAATGAAACTCAGCCTTGAATCTGTTTTACTTAAATGCCAGTTCCGCTGTACGCACATTTTTTTTCCTGTGCGCACATAAATTTGTGATTTACAATTTCGGTAGAAGAAGACGAATAATGATCGAATGGAGTGCGCGGCACGAAATCACCTTGAAAACTTTCTGGGGTTCAGGTCAATCACGCAAGAAAAATAGCGTTTTGTCATAAAACATTATTTTCACGTATTTTAAAACATTTCTATACTTCCGTTAATCTGAATCAGTGCGGAAAATGGGAAAGAGAGAGAGAAAGGGAAACAATATGTATTCGAGTCTCGCAGGAGCAAGGACATCTTCAACGAAGAAGAAAAAAGTAAGCGATACGATAAGCAAAACGCACGCAAAACAATTGAAATAAATAAATGAAATGTTTTGCTCATATCGTTGCTTTATCAAGTGGCAAGTTTCTTTCTTATTCGCTCCCGCCAGCGATCAGCGATAAAAGTTATTGTTTGTTTTGAAGAGAATTGAACGCAAACATTTGTCATACTCGTAAAATTTAATTAATCACGGAGTGAGCTTTCGTGTGTGTGGCCTGTGTGTAGAACGCGTACCAAATCTGTTTGGTCGCACTAAAAAGCGAATGGAATTTAGAGCGGAAGCGTAAAGTGGGTGAGAATATGGACGAGGAAATTTATGCGCCGGTTTATGGCCTAGTTTTTTTTTCTTTTGATATCATCATCATTACACACTCCGTAGAAAAATTTTCATTTATAAAATATTTTGCTCAACATTTTTCTCTTCGATTTTAGACGTTACAAGAGGAGCTGCTGGGTGCTGTATTTCATCCATTGGACGATAATCTAATAATAACATATGGCCGTGGCCATTTAGCGTTCTGGCATCGCCGAAAGGATGGCTGCTTCGAACGCACCGACATGATTAAACAGCCGAATCGAACCTGTATCACCAGCATTCAATTCGAAGCTGAAGGTGATGTTATTACCGCGGACAGCGATGGTTTCATTTCCGTTTATAGCGTTGATGCCGAAGGAATGTACTTTATTCGTATGGAATTTGAGGCACACATGAAGGATATTGGCTGCTTGTACATGCTACCTGATGGAACATTGCTGTCGGGCGGTGAAAAAGATCGCAAAATTGCCGCTTGGGACTCATTACAAAATTACAAACATATCGCCGATACAAAATTACCCGAATCAGCTGGTGGTATTCGTACGATTTTCCCGCAACGGCTGGGACGAGATGATGGCAACATTTATGTGGGAACAACGAAAAATAATATTGTCGAAGGTTCCCTGCAAAGACGTTTCAACGAAGTGATTTTCGGTCATGGACGCCAATTATGGGGCTTAGCTGTACATCCAGAAGATGAATTGTTTGCAACGGCTGGCATGGACAAAACAATTGTGCTGTGGCGAAAACATAAGCTCATTTGGATGGTGGGCGTTGATTTTGAATGCATTTCACTTGCCTTCCATCCATTCGGAAGTGCTTTGGCAGTCGGTACGACAGCAGGTCATTTACTGATTTTGAGCGTTGAAAGTGGCGAAACGGTAGCAACTGTTCGTGTTTGTGCGGCTCCCTTGAATTGCATCGCTTTCAATCAAGGTTGGTTTATTGATTTTGCTTTGACTTTTCAATGGAAGTCATGGATTTGTTTTCGATTTCAGTGGGGGATCTCATTGCAATGGGATCCGAAAATGGATGCATCTATCTGTTCCGTGTCACACGAGACGGCTTCAATTACAAAAGGCAAAGCAAAATCCGAGGAACACAACCACTGCAGCACTTGGACTGGAGTGTTGATGGCTTCTTCTTGCAAACTGTTACCGTTGATTTTGATTTACTTTTCTGTGAGTTTCTTTTGATTCGCAACACACTTTTTCTTCTTTTTTTTCAAATGATTTGATTTGAAACTTTTCAATGAATTGAGTTTTGATTTGATTTAAAATTTTAATCGATGACCTTGATTTCAAACAGGGGATACACGTTCATTATCACCCGAACGAAGTCCAATTCTGATGAGAGACGTGAAATGGTTAACACACAATTGTACGGTTGGCTTTTTGGTGGCTGGAATGTGGAACAATCGATTCTATTCAACGCAATCGGCCAAAATAACGACGTGCAATCGTTCCGCTGGAATGGATATGCTGGCATCCGGAGATTCCGAAGGTCATGTGCGACTATTTAAGTACCCATGCATCAGTCCACGAAGTGAATACTACGAGACGAAAGTGTATTCCGGCGTGATTGGTTGTGTGCGATTCTTGTACGGTGACAATTCATTGGTGACGGTCGGCGGCACCGATGCCAGTCTAATGATCTGGGATCTTGTCGACGAATGAATCGAACGCTAATTTTACACAGAAAACAAAACATTTTATTGGTGAATATTAAATTTAATTGGACAATTTGGTCAGGTATCGTTGTCGAATTGTGATTTAGCCAATGTCAAGAGCAGGCCTGATAATCACGATTCCAAGAATCACCGGCAAAAATTTTGAATATATCAGACAAAAAAATTACATCAGAATACAAATCATAATGTTAAGATCGATGAAGAGAAGAAGAAAAAAACAAACAAAAAAATTCTTTTTTATATTAACTTACACTAATTTGATACAAATGTAAACGAACTCAAAGGAATGAATTGATTTCGGTTCCATGTTTCGTAAAAACCCGTTTTTAATGCGAATTTCCTTTCATTTGGGTACCCCTCCCTCAGAAGATGCAACTCCAAGCAATTAAGTATCAAAAAAATCTATTTGCACTCAATCATTGTGTACTCTGTTCTCTATTTACTGATGTTGTTTCACATTCATTTATGTTTAAAAAAGCAAAACTGAACGGATAGCTTTAACTAGTTTATTGATTTGTTGAACAGAAAATACTGTGTGTCCTTCAAAAGAAAACTTTTTTTTCGTAAATGTGCTCGTCATACTTCTTCCATTTGTAATTATTCGTTCGCTAAAAGTGCAACACCAAGGGATGATGAAGCATTTTATTTTGATTTGTTGACATTTTTTTCGTTTCGGTGACCAAAAAGCACGCAAACTTTTCCCCAGAAATGCTTCATTTCCAAAAAGCACAAACAAACAAACAAATAGAAAGAAAAATGCATATAATTTGTCATCCGTGTACTTGAACCATTTGAAATGTGGTATCCACCATTCTCCATATCGGATTGTACAGTGTACACATCGCAAATACTAATTTAAGCCAAAAATTTGTTTACTCATTTCAAAGCAGAAAATGTTCGCAAGAATGTGTTTGCTCAAAAACGAAAATTCGTCGGTTAATTTGATTCAAAGCGTTTACATAAGCGATTTTAGCTTAATTCAGTTTTCGGAATTACATTTTAAAACACACACAAACGGGGCAAAATGTGTATTTGTTTTAATGTTTTGAAATCGTTTGAAAATTTCCGACGAAAAACATACCAGATATGATTTATGTGCACATCACTCTCTGGCGCTTTGAAGTAAAAGAAAACACATAGATTTAATTTCAGGCAAATTTCCAGTATAATTTGCTCCATTTACGCGCGCTTGTGACTTTGTTGGAATTGAATTCGAGCGAAACATCATCGCATTTACTTCAATAAATGAATTAATCGATTTTTCTTCGTCCATGTTGTTTCATGTGCTTTCGCTCTGCGTTGAGATACTCCAGTGTTTTATCAATGTTTGAGTTTCGGTTCTCTGGGCCCTCTCTCTCTCTCTATCTCTCTCCCTCTCTCTTCATCTTCTGCATCAAACTTCCCCATGCCGAATGTCGGTTAAGCAAATAGATTTTGTGTGAAGCAAAATGTTTCCAATCAAAAGAGAGTTTAGTGTGTATGGTTTTTATTTTTTGTTGATTCGTTCTATATAGATTTTATTACGTTACTCTTAGTAAATAGAATGCATTACAATAATTATTTTATACATCGTACATTCAGTGGAATTGGCACAAGTATTCATTGTAATCGTGGCATTCGAACGCATCACGATTTTGACCAATTTTACTCAAAAACTAATCGAAATAAACCGAAAGGAAAAGAAAATTGGCATTACCATTATTTTTTTATCGGGTCTGTAGCGACTATATCAGTTTGGTTTCAAATAACTTTTGTTTTAGAGAATATGATAATATCTTTAGTTTGTAAAACTATTGTAATTGCTATGAAATACCACTAAAAAACCAATGCTGTCCGAATAAAGCAGATACATTTTTTTGGTTAATCTAAAACTGAACGGTGTGTGTGTGTTTGTCTTTTGTGTTGTGAAAATCAAAAAGTGATTCGATCTTAAATGCTAAAAATGATTATTATTTGAATTGAAACTTATTTATTAAAACACACACACTAACGCGTTGGCTTTCAAGTTGAAACCAGCGTGCTAGTTAGCTATTCTACAAGATTATTGGTTAATTTAACTTTTTTTATTTGATTTTATCTTCAGAATTGATTTTTTTTTTGCCGTATATCTACATTATTTCAATCAGTTTTCTTCTGTGTATTTCCTTTCAAACGGCTAAACTGTTTATATTGTACAATTTTCATAAAATCTTAACCATTAAAACGTTACGTTTAATTTGACTGCACTTTTTGTCCATTCAACTGATTTACAGATAAGTATTTTTGCATTATTTTTTGTGATGGATTTTGAACAAGAACTAAATTTGGGCACACAACTTAACTTATTTTACTTTTACTGAACTTAATGCTAATTATATTTTGATTTTATCTCAATTAGAACTGATGAATTTAAGATTGGTTTGTACAATTTCTATTGAATATGATTTTCTTTAAGAATTTAAATTTATTCACTTTTTTCGGTGGCATTGATTTGAGTTGAGTGTTGTGCAGCATCACCGTTCACAGTGGCCGAGATGGTGTTATTGTTTGAAGTCGTTAAAATGTCATTGTTATTCGTGGTTGATCCGGTGCTGATGCAAAACCCTGGATTCAGCATTGATTTGCGTGTATTACTGAAATTTAATGGTGGCAAAAATGCGGGGAATGAAAACCCAGCCGCTGCTGCTGCTTGCAATGATTGTAACAGAGCTGCTGAATGCTCTTGTGCCTTGCGACGCAGTTCAGCCACAGATGTGGTGCGTGGATCACTTGCCGATGATGTCGACACGTTCGTCAATGCCGACGAACGATTTGCACTCAACGATGAAATTGATGATGTTGTCGATGATGTGATTGTCGGGCAACACGAGCACAAACCTGGAAATCCTAAAAAGCAATCACAATTTTTTATTTGATTTTTTTGTCAATGTTATTCATTGTCAAGGGTTGCTTAACATGCCAATTTTACGATGATTTATTAACGGTTATTCGTTAATCAATCATTTATGTATCGATCGTATTCGAGGCGCGAATACCAAGCACCGAATTTTTCTAAAGTGATTGTAAAATTAGATGGTGATTTGTTCAAGGAACACCTGCGTTGCACAACAACAACAAAAAGTTACTCGAAAATCCAAACTCAATTTACATGGTCGATTATCTGATTGTGAACACATCTATACGCGTAACACCGTCTCCATTCATCGTCTCAATCAACGCGCTTTTATCGAATAACGTTCATGAAATCATCGATTAACCAACTTTCTCGTTGAAACTCACCAGCATGAATGAATAATTTATGCCAAAAATTGAATTTCACTGGTTTTTAGAAAATCGTGTTACCAGAGAGCTGCAGGGAGAATTTTGGGCTTTTTTTTCACTTAAAGGAAGTGATGCTTACCTTTTAAATGAGGAAACAATGGCGGATGAAACTGTGTACCAAGCGATGCCAAATGTGTTGGTAAGAATAGAGGAGGCGTTGCACGTGGCGCATTATTGTCTAGCAACGGACGAAAGCCATTTGTTCTGTAAGAGAAAGGGAGAAAAATTAAGTGAAAATCATTTTGAAGAAAAAAAAAAAAAAAAAAAAAACAAAACGAAATTTCAATGAAAATAATCCTAAAGCCTAAGCTTACAAATATAGACTTGAAATAGCATCACACCCAAAATATTCTCGCAAAAATGTTCTGATGAGATTCATTGGCTCGTTCATTGATTTTTTTCTTCCTATTCTAAAAGCCGACCGGATTAAAGGATTCAATTAATTAAGATCAAAAGCATGCCGAAAACACATTTTAACATTAAATGGCATAATTGCGTTAGAAGTCAGTTTGTGTGTTTTGTTGAAAACCATTTGGAATACTTTTCCAAAACATTTGAGACTTGTGTGTGTGTGTGTGTGTGTGTGTGTGTGTGTGTCTGTGTGTGTGGCGATGAGTTTTGCTATCCATTCCATTTGCACTTCTCGTTGCGTGAACACATTTTCGCACTCGGCATCGTTTCATCGTCGAGTTTTCCCATTTTTCAGGTGTATGCGTGTGTGTGTTTGTGGCACGAGGAGTGTTGTGTGTACAACATCGTATCATTAAATTAAATCATATTTTCAAGTGAAGCCGAGAGAGAGAGCGAGCGAGCGAACAAGAGAAAATGGAGGCGAAAAGGGATTTTGGGGGAAGAGATTGAGTAAATATTGAATCTGCGCATGCTGCTGCTGGCTGTGTGATGCGATGCAACCATGGCAACACCTATTCATGTGTACATAATTAACAGTGGCAACCATATCTAATGTGTTTGGTTTGATTTAAACGTGGTCGTGCACACACTGTGAATCAACTGATTCGGCAGCAAAGACGGGGAACGGCAAAAGAAAAGAAAAGGAAAAAAGGGTTGCACCACCGTCTCGCACGAACTCAGCATCAAGGAAATGAATGTAAAATTGGATTGCGGGAGCAAAGAACACATTCGAGAAACAAAAATAAAAACAGGAAAAGTAAGAGGAATGGCGGTGTGTTTGGCAATAAAAAAGAAACCCAAAGTGGTAAGGAGATGAGCTCACATCATTTTGTTACAACCGCCACCTTTGACTAGCGCCCAAGTCAATGTATGCATTACAGCAAGTTTATTTGCTTGCTAGCACATTAAATCACCTTCAGAGCAAAGAAAAAAAAACAACGACAAGCACTTGATATTTGCGTTTGATGCCATATCAAATGTTTCCTGTGTTCAGCGCACAATTCGGAAAGCACAAAAATTGTACAGTACATATACATCTTTGTAAATTTATTGCTAGCCTTGAGCCACCATTAACGTTTAACGTGCGATGGGCGAGCATAAATTTTCGTCTGCCAACCATGGCATACAAACATCATCATTCGCTCGCAACACAAGAGGACGACGTACAGCAATGAAACGAAACGAATTTTCGTTTTTATTTGTGAATTGCACATAAAATAAAGCCAACAATAAAATAAAATGTTTTCTCAAATTGAATTTTATTCGCTCTCTCTCTCTCTCTCCCTCTCTCTCTCTCTCTCGCTCCATTCCATTTACTTTTTTATCGATTCAATTTCGTGCTGGAAGCTTCCAGTCTGGTCGATTCGCTTGATTCGTTCGCTTTACTATATATTGCACAATGTGTACATATCAATTTTATGATTATTTGACACTATTATGGTGATTCAGTTGCCGCTATTTGCCGTACCATTACGACCGTTATTTATTCTAATGCAATTTTGATGGCGAAACATAAAATGAAATTTATAAATAAATGAAAACGGGCGTGAAGATGTTGGGATACAAGTCAAGCATCAAATATATACAGAGCAACCACTTTGTTTTCAAATGTAAATAAATTGTAATTGCAGCATCGAAGTCTGAGCTGATGATGTTCTTACAGCGACCGAATAACAACGATTGGCAATCTCATCCTGAGCGATAGAAACGAGGAGAACAAGAGCTTAAGCGAATGAGAGCATTCAAAAGTAGCCACATTATGCGCATAAAAGAGCGTTAGAATATAATTTTTATGCATCAACGGGATAACAAAGCTCGGATCAAGAAAAACTAACAGTTGGAAAACACTCTCTATCTCTTTCTCTCTCTATCTCTCTCTCTCCTCCTCTTGCGCTGTGAACAAACACAAACACATCCACAAAATCAACGTCCAAGCGGATTGTGTCGAGTGCGGAGCCAAAAAGTCGAGAGGCTGTCTCAAGTGGAACGGGGTAGGAAAAAAATCGAATACTGACTAAATTATAAACGAGCAAAATGAAATATCTCGTCTTAAAACCTCATAAATGATAATATGATATTTTTTTCGCTTTACGTAAATTCTCCTTCTTTTCTCCATTTTCTTGACGGTGAATATTGAATTTGCTAGAATTGAGGAGTTTGAACAGCATAAAAAAATGAGAACACATTTTACTTCTTCTCATATTTTCTGCCGAATTGTTCTTCATCAACGTTATATTATGGCCAGAAGAAGAAAAAAAAACCCGACGAACGAAAAATATGCGACGAGAGATCAGTAGAAAAAGTAAAGAAGTGGCGCGCACCAGTTCTCAAATCATAAAATATTACGTATGAATATTTAAAGGGGTTGAATTTAAACTTTGCTATCAAATAATACACATTACATATTTCATTCATGTATAGATTGTATTTTCACATTTATGAGCGACTCTTTTTTTACGATTTTTTTTTCTTCTTCTCTCGCTCGCAGCTAGCTCTTTAGATCTGGCCGGGAATGAGCCAGCAAGAAAAAAAAACGAGGACAAACTGTATCAAAGCACCCACATTATGGCGAAAAGCAGAAGCAGAAAAAAAATATTGAATTACATAGTCATTTTGAGCGATTTTGTTGTTGTTGTCTCGCTCTCCTGGAAATGGCTTACGATTCGGTGTGTGTATGAAATATATTTTATTTCAATGCTTTTAAGCGACTAAAATACGCACAAAACCGATACGATATGATTCGCAGTAAGTTCGCTAAGGGTGAAAGATCAAAGGGAATTGATTATCATAAATTTGTAAAATTGTTGCTATCAAAATTATTAATAAAGTGCGAGAGAGCGCGCATGAGGCGAATTCAATATATGTAAATATTCCTTTATCTTATTTAAATGTTGAAGCTTCGAAAATGTTCTAATTGAATTTTCGTTTAGCATTGTATCCTTTTGTTTTTGTTGTTGCATGCAAATCAACGGTCGCTATTTTCGCATCAAATTAAATCAATTTGAGAGCTGTGATCCCTTTGGATTATGACTGCCCTATTTTTGAGCGGAGCCAAAATGCGCACACACACATACACAGCTGAGGTGCATTCAAGTGTATAGACTTGACTGGATATGTTCACTGAACATTGTTCAGTGAGTGAGTCTCTATGTACAACAACACAAAATGCGATCAGACTCGACAAGATAGAGAAGAAGTAGATCAGCGCTGAACGGAAAGCGATTCAGCGCTGTGCCAAACGATAATTGCCATTTATTTATTTATATTCGTTATACTTATTATTATTCATAATGCATTTTATGTAGCAGCACACTGCGCTTAAACACTCCGACTACGACAAAAAAAACTTAACATAATTGCAAATTCCAGTAATAATTGAAACATCCTGAGCAATTAATTTAATTTTTTTTCCTTCTCTGGGCTACTGCTGCTGCCTTCTCTCTTTCTTACACTCTCTCTACCTCTCGTTTTCTCTCTCGGTCGACGCAAACAGCACAAAGCTGTGATGAAATAATGTAATAAATGATTTAGGTAATTTTTAGATGGGATATTCGCTTGGAAAAAAGTACTTTGGCACACTTTTGCCGTTTGTTTCTTTCGCCTGAAAACTTCCATCATCGTTTACACGCTCACAAACACCTGAGTTTCAGTGTTCAGCATCTTCGTTGTCGACAACGACGTCATCATCGTCATCGTCGTCGTCGTCGAAACGCATCCATTTATTCATCATGTTACTTGGAAAATTTTGCATGAAAAGAGGAAGAAATATTTCGATACGGCAACAACGTAGTTTCGTGTTGTGATACGTTTAAGCAAGTTAGGTAGCAGGATGAAAAAAAACTGTTCCAAACAGGAGAAAAGGAAAGAAAGAGAGAAAAGGCGAACGTAATTTCCTATGCTCTTTCTTGTTCTTTGTCGCGTAATTTGAATATTCGAGTGATGCCATCATTTCCATTTCGTCAATCGTCTCCCTAGCTCCATGCCTCCCGATTTAATGCCTCTCTTACGATCGCACGCACACACACCAAAACAAACACAATCCACGACGACGGTATAAAGAATTTATAAATGAATATATTTAATCTGTGTTTGTGTGTGTGTCGTCGTCTTTTCTGTCGACATTTGCTACGAATGACGGAAAGAGAGAGAGAGAGAAGCATTGAAATGAATACGTAATACATAATCCCTTCCTGTAATGGGATGTTTTTCACTTGTACAAAATGAAAAATTAAATTTTCGTCGAATTAAATTGTGTGCTTTGGTATTCGCAAGCGCACATCCAAATATGTATCAAGGTTGAAACGTGTGGTACACGCTCTTCTTCATCATCATGCTAACGAAGACGACGTTCGTTTACTGATTGCTGCAAATTCTGTTTGTGCATTTACGGGCGTTTTTTCCCCGCTGTCTCTGTACAAACCAAGTATCTCAAATGTTACATTTCATCAAAAGGCAAATGGATTCCACACCGTGGATTTTATCAAATAGAAGTTTGGTAAATCTACGCAAAGCGGTCACAAAAGAAACAGATACACGGCAAATGTACGCAGACTGAGTGTCAATGTGACGGAAAGAACTTTGTCGCCGCATCGTGATTTTTAGCCTGCCCGTACATTTACATCGCAATTGAAACGTCCATGTGCACAATTCATTGAGCAAAAGATGACTTTTTGGTCGACGACGATGACGGCGTCCGTTTGTTGTTTTTGCACATTTTAATGGGATAATGACACGAATGCATTATGCAAAATATACATTAAAAAGAATGTCGCTATCATGTGAATCTCAGTTCTTCCTCTAAATCTCTCTTTCCTTCTCCATCTCCCTCTCTTACGGGAACATGAGTTCATAAAATTTGATTGCTTTTTTGTTGGTGAAAGAAGATTTTATTTTTCCGTAAATAAAATTCAAGAGGACTAAATAACTTGACCATTTCAAAGTGTTGCATCTCGCTTTACGTGGTTTTTTGCGTTAAATCTTCTGCTGTGTATTCAGTGGAATTGATTTAAATCATAATGACCTCAAATTCGCAAAAAAAATCATTACGCATTTTGTTTGGCCTTTCGCTCCTACCACTTCAATTCCGTAGTGCAGAAACTTAAAAAAAAACGCAACGTGCAAACGACTCGAAACGAAGAGAGCCACAGTAGCAATTCGGTGGCAAACTGTACTTGAGATTTAAATGGAACATAGGTTTCTTTTATTTGGGCTTAATGATGCTGAGTACCGTTCGAGTGATCAGGCTGGTCCGAGTGTTTGTGTGTATTTTACACACAAAAACAAGCATATTGAGGGTTTGCTTTGTTTGGTATTGAGCGCATTAGTGGCAACAATCAATGAACGACCCTTCGTTCAATTTGCCTCTTGTTCGTCGTCGTAGTCGCCGTTTTTTTTGTACGTGTGTGCCTTTTCTTTCCTGTTTCGTTTACGTTGAAGTGCATTTTTGTTGCTGCACACACACTCTGCGCTATTATTATGCAAAATGGGGTTAGTGGCTTTAGTTAGCTGCTGTACAATAATCAGCCAAATAAATACGTTGTTGTTTTTTTTATGATGACGACTTAAGACCCCTTATGCCACGTACATGAATGTTTCACATAAAATGTTGCAAGTGAGAAAATAATTGTTTTTGCTCTTGAGTTAATGTGGCTTAAGTGATGAAAAAATGTTATTACAAGGACTTTAGCACGATGATTTTTTCTTTTTTCGCTTTTCGTCGTGGTCGTCTTTTAAAAATCTTTGGTTTTTCGGAATGAATGAAAAAATTTACATCTTAAATGAAGCAAAATGCTGTGACCAACCAAAGTTATAATGCATGCTAATGTTGCCACCGTTAAATAGTGCAAAACGAGCAAACAGTTGTGTACAACGGTACCGCCCGTGGTTTCGGAAATCATTATTACCCGTTACTACACCGAATAACCGCACACCCGCAAACAAACAACGAAATATGCACCGTTCACTCCATTGGATTTACATTCTTTTCACGATTAACCGAAGCTGTTCCGCATTGTTTTTTTTTTTTCGTCCACAGAACGCCCGATTCCGGTGTGCTCAAATTTTATGTGGACCATGGAGTGCTCACTTTGAGACTCGTTGAGGCTATATAGCATAGACTGCTCGCTTTCATATCCTTTTCCTATTAATAGAATTTTCCATTTTTTCCCTCACCTCCTCACTACCAGGGCAATTAATTTTCATGACAAAACATAAGATCTGTCCTAACTGGTAAATCCATTAGATAAGCCGTAGGAAAATTGAAAAGTCGGAAAAATAAATTATATTGACACCCTTTTACTCAATTCACTATATTTTGTTCGGTACTCTCTTTGCCTCTCTCAATCTAGATCTCTCTCCCCATCCCTTTTGATTTCTTTATTTCTTTCTATCTTTCCTTCTTTCTCTCTCGGCAGCTCGGCACACACCACCAAAAGAAACCACTAAATCAATGAGCAAAGAAAACGAACGAGCAAAAAAAAAATGAGAGCCAAAGCCAGAAAGGAAAAGTATCCGGTTTTAGTTGAAAATCCTTGCGTAATAAATGAAGCGCAAAGAGAAACTAAATGGAAATAAATCATCTGGATTCGGTGTGGATACGGCCACACACGCACACATATGCTCTGGTTCGTATGTCGAACATTACATATTACAATATAATATGAATATAAATTATTGCTATTAAATCGTTAAGAATTTGTGATTCGTTTGCATTACTCTCGTTGAGAGTGGATTTGAATGGAATCGCGCTCTTGCAGTGTCATGATGGAGATAGAAGATGGTTTTCTTTCGTGCATTGCTGATATTAGCGCACATCATATCCATTGTGAGAAACAATGAGTTAATGGCATTGTGGACGTTGATAAATGAAAATGATATCTAAATTATACGCACATCAAATCCAATCAATTGGCAAAATTATTTTGGATGATCGTAACTTTTCGAGAGTTAATGCTTCGCAATCGGAACTTTGGAATAAATTTGCTCGCATAAAAACGGAAAAGAAAAAGCATTTCGAATTCGGGTTTACAAATTGTTACTCACATAAAAGTGTTTCCGCATTTGGAATGACCCGCGCGAGCGTTTGATAAACTAGTAGCAGCAATTAGTAGATTTTATTTTTATTGGGATGCAACCCACTGTGATGTCAAGTCGAAAAATCACACAGCAAATTTTAACTTGGTATGAATATCGTGTTGACAGAACACGCAAATCGATCAAGACTCTAATTGACTTGTTACAACCCAAAAACCAGAAACCAAACGAATCGGAGGTAAACCAGTTAGAAATTCGGTGAACATACTCTTGATGCCATTTCACTTCGGGGCAATACATCGTTTGGTTGTAATGTATCCGAGGACGCCTGTTGTGTCAACATGCTGAGCTGTTTATACAGCACCCAACACACACACACACTCTGAATGTTACAAATGTCACATTTTCAGCGAGAAGATTCCAACATTCAAAACATTCTACCATATGGCTAATGAAGTTGTTTTCGAATGATTTTTGGGAAAATAAAAATCTCGTCTCGTGCATAATCTTTTATTAGTTTGTTTTGATTCGTAATCGTGCATGCGAAAATACACTCAATTACAGTTCATCTGTGAGCATAGACAAACACAAACACATAGACGATTGTCTTCTGATTTATTCGTACACTCCCCTTCGATAGAGAACCGGAAAACCCATCGAAAATCAAACAAAGGAAATGATACAGTATAAATTGCTCTGACATGCAACATTCTTGTCGCTGTACCACTGTTCAGCGACAGATATTCGCTACGTATCGACGGGGTGTTTGCATTTCGAGAATTCGAATCGGAAAAATTGAGACACTGAGAATGGAAAGTGGACCCACACGGAGAGAGAGAGAGAGAGAGAGAGAGAGAGAGAGAGAGAGAGAGAGAGAGTGAGTAAATGTGCCTAATTTCCTTTTTTGAAGATTTTTCTTTTGTGCACTGAAATCGGCTGCGAGATCATGGATGCTTTTAGCATGAAAATGCGATTAGATTCGGTTCGGTATGCACAAGTCATTGATGAATCGCCGATAATACCATTTCGAAATGCATAATGATGGATAATAAAATTAAGATAACCATCATAATGTCATTCGTATAGTGTTTATTGACCGTAATGAGCTTAGGCATAACATTCAACACAGTCGAAGACAGTGTGCACATTCATCAAAAACGAAGATTAAAATCATTTTGGATTTTGTTTTCCTTTTTTGGCTCGATCTTTGTGTCAGCCCATAAATTTTGAGGAAAAATAACTTACGTTTCAGCAAAACTGTTGAAAATACTATTAGCCGCGACACCATTTGTATTCGTCAAGATGCTGTTGGAACGTGAGCTCAGTGTCATAGATATTGGGGATGTTGCCAGCGAAATGGGACCGCCAACTTCGATTGGCGGTGAGTCAGCATTCGGCGGACTGTTGCCAGAATTTTGTGATGTTCTGAATGAATGGAATTTGAAGGGAAAAGAAATCAATTATCCGATTCAATCAATAATAAATTTTGATCTTCGTTCTTGAATATTCGATTTGTCAATTTTCCAGAGGGAAAATTCACTTACCGGAATCCAGGTGACGGTGAACCAACGCTACCCGAACAAGATTGATGGTTATGGATTTGCATCGACGACGATTGTGGTCGTTCCAAATCGGAATCAGTTCGTGGACTATGAGCCGGTGCACTTGTGCTCAAGTGTTCATCGTCATTATCGCCAATAATGTCCGGTGATGATTCTCGGCTCTGCTCATTCTGTCAAGTCAAAGTCGAACAAAAATGCAATTAATTAGTTTTGAGTTTGGAATTACATTCATTTTCCACACGGAATACTTACTCGATCGGCTAAAATTGGCGTATTGTCACCGCTATCCCGTTTCCGTTGCTCTTCCTTGAGCCGTTCCGCCTTACGCCACTTAGCGCGCCTGTTCTGGAACCATACCTGAAAGAGAGAGAGAGAGAGAAAAAACCGCATTTCAGGAATAAAATATGGAAATTCAATTACTCCCCGAATCGGGAATATTTCAATTTAAATTGGAAAATTATACGGCATTCGTTTCATTGTGAGCAAATGGAGCGACTGAGTAAAGCCAATAATGTATAATGAATGTTTCATTTCGTTGGAAAATTATTAAATTTATGGTTGCTTTTATACGCAAAATTTATTTTCATTTGTCGACGGCGGCGGCGCATCATGACACCCCAGCCTCAGCTGCCAGCCAACAGACGCTCACAATGAAATGTGATATAGACGTAATGTCGTCGGGCGTACACAATTTTCCATTACCCGGAGGCTATCAAATTAGTAGTTGCATTGCTCGCAACCGATCCCGAATGAACTCGTTCATTGAAAAAGAGACAACACCAAATCTATTTCTGTCCCATCTTTTCCTTCTGTTTCTTGTTTAAAATATCGGAATTTAGCTGCTTTCCGCATTTTTATTCTCAGAAAACTTCCGCAGAATCAAAGGCAACGTTTTTTTTCCCGTCGTTTGTTTTATTTACAGATTTGCACGATAATCAGCAAAAGGGTAAATATTTCTTTGACACAATAAACAATTGGCCAAGCAGTAACAATAATAATTACACACTCGAATGCCTGCATTTGTTGATTGGATCCATCCAGTTGGCTAAATGTGATTTTAAGTAAGTTGCTGTGTGTATATCAACAACTCAACGATATAATGCGGTAAATTGCTTTGTTTGCCATTCATTCATTCATCGATTCAACGCGCTCGTTGTAAGCGCCAAATTGCAACAGACGAAAGGGAAAAAAACACACAAATGTCATTTGAGGTATTTTCTGCTTGGTGACAAACATACGATGGATTGTGTAGTCCAAGCGGCAACAATGAACATTCGCACCGAGTCATGATGATTTGTGCGGCTCATTGAAATGTCTGTTTGTTTTGTTTTCTTCTTCATCCATGTTCTCTTTCTCTCTCTCTCTCTCTTTTTCCCTCACACTCTCTATCGTTCTCTTTTCCATTCTTTGTGTAATCCATTGACAAATTCACCCCTAATATTTACACGAAGCAAACAAATGAAGAAACAAGCACCACAACCATTTGCTACATGTTCAAATGTAAATAAATTACCACAATAAATATTTTATGCACGAACAAATTTGTTTCATCCATTCGATACACCGAAAAGTAATTACATTTTAAGTATTCATTGTGTTGCCTTTTGTTTTTCCATAGTACATACAGCGTTCACATTCGCAAATATTATTATTCATTTGGTAATTGTCTCAATGACTTCTTTTATCCTCTCTCTCTCTCTCTCTCTCTCTCTCTCTCTCTCTCTGCCGTCATTGTTAACCTTGCTCAAGTTATGAGTGAAAAATTGAAAATTTCCGAGTAAAAAAAAAAGTGAGGGAAAAAGCGACTTTGCAATGAAAACAAAGGAGGGGAGGATTAGCGATATTATAATTTAAATACAGTATGTGGTTTTGTCGATTATACTATTTAAACAGATCAAATGTTGATACAAGAAACCGTAATCATTTCTTTTCAATGTTGACAAAGTATGTTGTCGGTGAAAAAGATACACCGATGGAGAAAAAAAAATAACTCAAATTGAATAGCACTTTGTTTGACTAAATGGTCTAATAACGCAAAGAAAGCAAATTACACAGTCCAATGGATCATGAAATTGAATCAAGTATACAGCCGTGACAGTCATAATCATAATATTTATCATAAATTTGTAGCCAATAGCTCGAAAATTTCATCATAACAACCGATGCTAACCACTAGTTTATTCCACCATTTGTGTGTGTGAACAGATGTGAACGTTAATCCACTTTCAGCCGATTGAAACGAGTAATGTGTGTAATTTTCCAACTTGATCAACAAAACTCTTTACTTCGAAAACCAGCGACTGCATCCTTTTTGGGCCCTCGAGCCACACTGTGGTGGCCACGGATTAGCAGACGCAATAAATTTATACCAGGAGAAATTGTTGGCGCTTCTGTAAAGCGTACTAACCCATTGTGATTGACAAAGTGCACCTCTTGCACCGAGTAATTTGATACACTGTAACCAGTTTTTGGTACACCGATAACATTCATCGATACATGCGATACATGTGTACAACTCGTTGGGTTCTTTTTTTCTTCTAAATGTACCTTCTGCATCGACATAGCTTCGGGTCGAATACATATAACACTGTAAGTGAAAAGAATCGACGGTGGTTTTTGAACGGAGGGAGATTTTTTTCACCACCACCAAAAAACCACAAAACCTGTCTATTCAATATTGGACGGGAAGATTTCAAATCAAATAAAAACCACTGCCGCTTAAACGCTGGCTGTGGTACACTTGCCATTTGAAAGTACATAAAAAACGAATCAACCGAAGATTATTGCTGTAAATTGTTGAAAAATTGAATAAGCTGTATCTATGAACTGACAATATAGGGCTAGTGGCTAATGCTATTGTGCTTAACAGCTAGTAATGGTTGTGCATCATCTCAGCCAATGCAAACTGTCTATCAAAATCACCGTGTTTTATGCTCATTTTGATGGTCGGCAAGAATGCTGTGGTGAATCGGACCACAGAAGAGCAACGGTAATAAAATGATACAAATAGATCTAATTTAATCTACTCACAGCTTGTCTCTTCGAAGAGTGTTAACGGTTATGACGTTGGCGAAAATATGAACGCGCACACGTTGCATTGTTGCCGGGGTGACTTTTGTGGTTGGAAATTGATTGAGTTAGAGCATTTCAAGTGGATTGACATACCATTTCCAATAACAAATCAAATGAAATCAAACATATCGTAATTTTCATATCTTTGTGATTGACAGTGGAACTGTCACAATAGTACAGACAAATTTTCTTATCAACGTAGGGCTTTCTTAGAATTTCGTTCTAAAATTATGTTTTCGGCCCAATACATCGTCAATTACAAATTTGGTAATTAAAATGTCACGTACAAAATTACTTAGATTCATGTGAAAGGAATAATTTCATTCAATCGCTCACGAAAATCCAACTCTACCATATAAAACAGTAGAAAAGTCAATTTTCAACGAAAAACAATGTACTAGCGACGCGTGGGGCATTCCGAAATTGAAAACCATGAACTACTTTATGAACAGCTCCATATAACTAGATGGATGTAACAAGCATCACTTGTACTCATAAGAAAAAGAGAGAAAACACAAAACTCATAAGTTTACAATTTTGAGTGTGTCTCGAATGACGTGCACAAATTTCATGAGAAGGTGTCAATTATCCAAACAAAAAGGAGACACACACACACACATACGCGTAGAATAAAGACAAAAAGAACCAACAACAAGAGAGAAAATAATTAATTTTAATTGAAAAACAAAGGATTGGAGCCGCTGTTGCTTTTTGTGTATCACATACATGTACATCACTTGACTCGAATACACGACAAACAACAGCCAACGTGCAGTAGTATTGTTTTTTTCTGTTGAACGACACAACAAACGAAATAATTACGTAGTTAAGTGGTGCAAAATGGAATCATGGCAATTAGTTTGTGAATCACTGCCGTTCCGTGGGGGCTGGTGCACAATTTTCGCAGTTAATTATGTACGATGAGAGTGAATTTTCAAAATGCAATTCGCTTCAAACACAGCAAGTACCCAATTAAGTATTTGCTTTTTGCGATGACACTGCAATGGCATGCTCGCTCGCTCAATCCATTCTCGGTGTGCGCACGACGCGCTCCAAATAATTTCACTGTGTTTTTTTTTCTTTCGTCTCTATCTGCCAACTCGAACGTTGTGTATGTAGTTGTAGGTAGGCACACACATACGATGTAGAAACTCCAATGGCGGTGCAATTTTATTTTTAACTGCTGCTCTCTGTCGCACAATCACACAAAATACGTGACATCCTTCGAGGCATATACTGAAAACGTGGAACGGGAGTGTTTTTGTTGTGCCGTATTATATCAAATCAAAATTAGGAATTTAGTATGGCATTGTTTATCCACGAAAACACTCTTGTCTCGGTGCATTCGAATCAGTCGACTGGATTTTGGGTAACATGAATAGCATATTGACATCGCACGAAATGAGACACATAAACACGCGTCAATAGACTCATTCCAAGTCGCCTAGTTCATTGCGAGTATTTGCTGCAAACTCGGATGGCAGTTCATTTTTGCCAGGGTTGAGCAAAAATTCTTTATTTGGATGCATGTTCGAGAATGTGTTATTTGATTTTGTAAATTAGGATGTGGCACGATGTTGCATCATACAATTGGAAGATGTTGAACACAATTGGTGTTGTAAATCATTCGAGCAATTTCTGCGGCACAGCCATTTAAACGGCACACGCATCAAAAATTTAGAGAATATTTGACATTTGATATCTTGAGAGAGACCTAGAGTTCGGTGTGAACCGAACGTTAGCAGCACCATAAACCATCATTTTACGCTAGATGACTTGAGTTATTAAATTTTCGATTCGACTCACTGTCAGTCGTTTTCATTTTTCACCACTATTTATCCATGAAATTTGATATGTTTATTTATTTCTCTTTTTCCAGGTCACGTGCACACAATTTCTCTCTCTCTCTCTCTCTTCGCATCCCGCCACCAGCACCACAGTTCATTTTATTTAATCACTCACATACAGCAAATTTCATTTCGACAAACGGATAAAATAAATTTCGACAATTTCATATTGGAATTAGGCAATGCCTCAAGTTTGGAAATGCATTCTCAAAAGTACATGCAATTTCTCGTAGCCTCTTGCGGCTAAACGTGACTGAATCAAATCGAAAATTATTATGATTTTGAAAAAAAAAAAAAAAAAAAATTAACCGACAAAGGAATTTTGTTTTGAAAGGGTTTTTAATTGTGCTACACGGTTGGCCCATCGCAATAAAAGAACAAAAGAAGTAAAAGACGCGTGAAAACACCGCACGGCGAAAATGGAAAGGTTGACATTAAGTGTACAATGTGTGCCATTCAGTTTTCGATCGGGTAGAACAATTGAAATTTTAATTGACAGCAAATATTTGTTTTCGTTCAAAAACGAAAACAACAGAATACTGAAATCGTGTCGAAGGGAACGTGTAAAATACCTTTCAGAACACACAGCAAACAAAATGCCAGTAAAAAAAATCAGCAGGCTGCGAAAATATATTCTCTGCAAAATAAAAGGTTTTCGCAGACTGAACACGAAAAAATTCAAGCAGAAATGATTTCATTTTAGGGGTGAAGTTTTTCTCGTTGATGCCATCATGCGTTTACAGCCATTAACTAATCCGACTTGATTCGATTTAATGCAATTCCGATGAAGTAATAATTTCTTTAGGTTGCTTCATCTATGAATGTTGGCCATTTAGACGGCATCAAATTTCACGACAAGACTTTTGCGCTCATGTGCTATAATTGAGTTTTGAGTGAGGAATTAGTTGTCGAAAATTAGCTAATGGTTTTTACGGTCGGAGCTTAGTGGACGACGAGCGAGCATGAACATGAGATAAAACCGAATCCTAACTGAATTACCGTAGTTTTTCGATAATTTCATATTTGAACTGTCTCTCGTAACTTGAATGTGAAACTCAACCAGCCAAATTCCACGGCGATTTGTGTTTAGCTACTTACAAACGTGTGTGGATGTAATCTTGGCGCACGTTCACTACAGATGAACATGTGTTAACCCACATTAAATCGCCGAAAATCAAATAATCCGATCAAGCAATTTGTTCATGGTTTTTACTGTAAAACCTCGATTGCAAACGTCAACCACACCAAAAGTTGATTCACGATGGCAGCCTCAATGGATGGATGTGTGGTTCTTTTTTTTCGGGCAAACTTTTATTGAAAAATGTGGAGCAACTGAACTGAATGGCATCGAAGTATCGATGGGAATGCGAATTCGATACCAAAATCATGTTAACACTGAACAAAATTCAACTGGGGAGAGAACACAATGTAATTGCATTGTCATGTCAAATTCAAGCGTAAATTGGAGTGCAACCATACCATTACCCATGACTTTTGACTGTGACGCACATCTACGCCTCGAACACACATCACTTTATTGAATTTATTTGTTGATGATGACCTTGTGACCATTTCCAATCCGCTCAAAATTCATTTCGAACAAAGTTTTGGCAAGCCAAGCACATACCTGAACACGAGCTTCGGTTAAGTTGATCTTCATCGCCAAATCCTCTCTGGTGAACACGTCCGGGTAGTGAGTTTGAGCTGTACGAAAGAAAAAATTCGAAAAAAAAAATCAGAAATGGTCGGGTGTTGAACTCATTGAATAATGTGAAAAACTGGAGAAATATAGAGAAAAATATGTACCAAATGCCGTTTCCAGTTCTTCGAGTTGCTGAAGCGTGAACGTTGTTCGATTCCGTCTCTGCTTTCGTCGCACAAACGTTTCATCGTGTATGGCCGGATGATATGAGTAACTGGTATCTGCAAATAATCGAGATAAAGTAAAATCCTTACATTACAAAGTATCCATAACAACGTTTTACTTCCAAAATCGAACTTAATAATTGCGTGAATAATTCAATCGTTTTGAATGCGAACAATGCCAGCGAAAAATAACCACAACAACAATTTAATTGATTCTCCTGATTGCCGTAATAATAACAATTGAAATTTTATTTATTGTCACCATGCAAACACATCATTTCGTCATCACCATCAACGCGAAGCGCATTTCTTCGAACAAAGTCTGCCCATCTCTCCGCATAGAGATCAAGTAATAAAATCTAAATTGATGTGATAATTGAATGAATAATTTCATATATTCGATATATGTGCAGTATGTACGAGGCTCGCACTACGAGCCCAATATTCAAATTTGCGTTTGAATTCTTCATATTTCATTATTTTACAAATTGCTTTCCAATCAAAGTATATTCACCAGAAAAACCAATGAATTCCCAGAAACTATTTCCATTTCAATTTCATACCTTTTTTTTCCCGTACAAGACTTGAAGTGTGAAAAAACACACATCAATTCACACTCTTGCACTCGTTTTGATGTGTCGCTTGACTCGTTGTTTTTATTCAATTTTATGGAAATCATTTAAAAATTGTGCACCATATAATTTAATTAGACGAAGGCGTGCAACGTAGAATGCATCAATTGAATCGTTTGCGTTTAAATTGGCTCTAACCAAATAATGCGGGCTTCAAATGACTCAACGCACATCGATTCGATTCACATTTTAATTTTTTTTCCAACCATTCGAACAAACCCGTTGAATGTTTGGTTTTGTTCAAAAGGTTTTGCATTCCACACACACAAACTCGAAACCATTGTCATTTGGTTTGAAAAATTGAACGCAAACATGATATTTTGTCATGCAATCGCAGAGCCGCGCTCGCCTTCACCATACCGTGCTATTGTGCGTCAGTGTGAGTACTGAAAAATTGGATATTAAAATTCATTTATCATTTATTAAAGATAATTATACACTCTTCTACCCGTTTAATTCAATTGAATGCGAATGTTTAGTCATTAAATAAATTGTTGCATAGTCCATAAACATTTCATCAACTTATCATCAAATTCGGCAAATGCATTCTAATAAAACAACACATTCCATTCCAAAGGCACTTTCAATTTAAATTCGACCATTTCTGTTTCGCTTGGTTGCATGACACACACGAGAAAACTGTTGATATAACTTACTGATTTGATGGACTTGCTCCATTTTATAATGAGTAATTCGATGCATTGTCAAACCCTGTACTCACAATGAAAAAATAATGCTAATATTGAGGACAAAATGAGATTACACTTCAAATAAGGTTTGCAAATCGATAAAAAAGTATCATTATCAAATCTATATATAGGTAAAAAAATATCTATTTTTTTGTTGTTCAGATGCAACCAAAATTTCGATCGATGTTAACGCTCTAATTTATTGGAAGGGACTGCTATACGAGTACGAAAAATGTGTATTGAAAATTTGAAACAAAATTTTTGGTTCAACTTTATTTACGTGCAAATTTATATTTGAAGGTCTTTTGCATGAAATCAAATGTTTACAACAAATATTGATCACTTTCACAAATTAGCGAAAAATTCAGAAAGAGTTTTAAATCAATAGAAATGAATTCAAACAATTTAAAATGATTAACACATTTTTTGGCACCACAGAAAATTCATTGCAAGTATTTGTAGTATCTGGTTTGATGAGTTTGATTGTATGCAAACAACAGTCGATCTGAACCTAAACAACAGATTCACTGCTATAAATACCGTTGCAAAGTTGAATGAAAGCTTCAGTAATGGCTTAAAAATATTTGAAACCCACAATAAACATTAGGATGAGGATGGCAATCTTTTTTATTTTTGCGTCAATTGCTTTTATTGTAAGTTTGCGGAAAGTATTTGAGGGATATTTATTGTTATTTTTAACATTTGTGGTCATGATGATACATTGAAATGTGTTCTCGTGCGAATTTTTTTTTATTTTATTTTCATTCTATTTTTAAAACTTGTTTTGGTTTCAGTTAAACATATGAAAATTTCATTTTTTTTTCTTTTTATTTCAAAACATTCAGTCATTTGCACATGGATCTGGCGATCCCGAACCATATGCTGAAGCACTTGCAGAGCCGATGCCATTTATTCTTAGAAATTTGGGTTCAATGGCTTCTTTATCAGGAGGATCCTCATCTGGATCTTCTTCAAGTTCCAACAAAGTCACAGTGAAACGGTGTCGTTGTCGCCGAAAAAAGTGTCCAACAACGAAAGCAACATCTTCGTCGTCATGCACAACCATGAAAAGGTCATGCCCAACCATGAAAAGGTCATGCAAAACGAAAAAGCCATGCACAACGAGAAGGTCATGCAAATGTTGTTTCATCAAAATAAAAACCACAACGAGGTGATAAAATTGATATCGAAATTATGTAATTTTCATTGAAAATTCTTATTTTGGAAATTGAGAATTGAAATTTATTCTCTTTTCTATTTTAGTACGACGACAAGCACATCATCAACTAGGTAAGGAGAATTTACTAAACCATTTCATTATTTCAAGTTTGAAACGATATTGAATTTGTGATTGAGAATTAAAATTTAAATTTTGTATAATTGTTTTTCAGCACGACCGCTTCAACAGGTAAGAAGAATAAACTGCTAATTAATCTATTGAGCCATCTTTGGTAGTAGCGGAATAATTGTCATTTTGTTCGAATTTATTTTATTTTAAAGATTCATTCAAATGAATTATTTCTCATTAATGTTATGATACTTCGAACTAATTTAGAAATAGTCAAGAGAATCCTTGAATTGGACTCCTCAATTCAATTGAACTTCAAACAAAAAAATAATCACATAATGGATTAATGTAAATTTCACAGCATCGACTGCATCGACAGCATCGACTGCATCGACTGCATCGACAGCATCGACTGCATCGACTGCATCGACTGCATCGACAACATCGACTGCATCGACTGCATCGACTGCATCGACAACATCGACTGCATCGACAGCATCGACTGCATCGACAGCATCGACCGCGTCTACGGCATCTACTTCATCTACTGCATCTACATCCTCCACAGCATCTACCGCCCCCACAGCTTCTACCTAAGATCCATAAACGTTAACGTTTCAATCAGCCCAAATATGGCCATGACTTGAAATCACCTCTCTTTCCTTTTTACTTTTTGCATAAATATTACTAGAACTTAAGGCACGTTAAACATAGAGCACAACTTTTGACTGGCACAATTCACTCACAAGCGTAGAATTAGTTTCATTTGCAATGTTTGTAGCATAAATTTCACTCGGAATAAAATTCACTTGTAAAACAAACGATAACTATCGTAATTGATATGCTTTCAATATCAAATATCTGTCTTTGAAAGCACACAGCATTTTGCATGGCATTTTAGTGGAGTGAACCCGTTTTTGTGTTTCATCTAATAAAACTAATTATGTGACACATGGAGATCATATCTTTTCAGGCAACAGGAAGAGGGGACAAAAATGATATTTATTTAATCTAGATCGTACTAAATATTTGATTAAAATGTATGCTAGCATACATTTTTCAATGTGTCGCGGTCGGGGTTTTGGCATAGTGAGTGTGTGTGTCTGTTAATGGTGATGTTGATCATTGGCTCGTTTGCATCGTTTCGCAGTGACACATTTCTACATTAAGTCTGATTTAAATTAGGTTAACATCAATTTGAATTAAATTTTCATTGTACATTTTATATGCGCCGCGTTTACATTCACCGCCCGTGATTTGTGTGTAAGATTCGCATTCTTTCGCACTTTTTTATTCGGCTGGGCTTTGAAGATACACACGCATTTTTTGTGTACGGTATATACGAATGTAGAGTGTAGCAAAGTGCGTGCCATGTTCATTTACTTTCGTCATGTTGTTGTGACGCCTTGTCAGTTTCGATGTGATGTGATTTCGGCGCAGAGATCAAAGTGTTTCATTTTGCAGTGGCACAAATGCCATGTTGATTCCAACGGTTTATGGTTTTAAGGCCGAGCTAATGGCAGAGTGAGAGTGGGAGAGAGAGAGAGACAACGAACGAAAAGTGGTTTTGTGAATCCTATTCCCATCAGACATCGATTACGAATCGAATACATTATTAAATCACTTGCTCAACGCCATCGCCGCACAGCGCACATCGAGCCCAATTTTTAGCGAGAGTGTATGTGTTTGGACCGATGCGAAAAGCGAAAGGCAAATGCATGACGAGCCATATACGTATGTATGGTGCAATCAATCGTTGTGCTATCATGCACATCAATTAAATATTGGTCAATTGAAATTACATCAAATTTTCGTCGGAATTCTATTAAAACGGAAATCAAATAAAGTTTTCCGAAGCAAAGTTGCGACTACGGGATCGGCACACAGATGGGCTATTCGGACAATCCATAGGCATGCAAAGTACATGCCATCGGGTTGATTGATTTTCAACCACATTCGCATCGTTGAACTCTATCTCACTCTCTCACTCTCACTCATCCTCTCTTTTCTCTCTGCCAAAAAGCCAATAAGTCGGAATTCAATTGTAAATCTCAATTTATGGATGGATTTGGTGTGGTTGCAATGAGATGGTGCTACCATTTGAAAATGTGTTGGTAACATGCTAATGACGTATAAATTACCATCAAATTTAAAAATTAGATTATACTCTTGGTTCGCTCTCTTTCTCGCTTGCCAAATTGAAATGGATACAAAAAGCCACAAACCGTCTGAAACCGACACACAAAACCGTCTGTACAGAGGAAAAAAAGGAACTTTTGCTCTCGCTCGTCAAACGAACGAACGAACGAAAATGAAATGTTATTACAACTCTCTGGCACTGTGTTGCCTTTGCAACAGCTTTCCACATAACTTTTAACTATTATTGCATTAACGAACGACAAGGGTTTTTCCCTGACTTGAGCTCCTCCGTTCATTCTCTTGCGATGGATTTCGCACGCGGGTGCGCGCACCAAAAAGCAAACATCGAATCAAATGAACACCGAAAAAAGAACAAACGGGCGAATGTTGAGTGTCTGAGTGAAATCTAGTTTAACACGATGCAACGTATTGAACTTCGGGTGTCTCTCTTTCTCTGTATCATTTTGTTGCGAATCCGAATATTGGTGGTTGATTTGTAAGCCTCGTTACTTGGATTATTCGATTATAGGATTTATTTTGAGGGTGAACACCGCAAACTTTGTTCGAAAACATTCAAAAGAAAGAAATCCACACGTGATGCTCGGCCTGCGAAAGGCGAAACTTTCTGTTTTGCTATTCGCCCAATTCAGGCTAGCGAAAAAATTTCCAGCAACAACAAAAACGACGACAATGACTGCGATGGCGACTGTGATGCCGATGACGACAGAAAACTACGTAAATACAATGCTAAATTGGTTAATTAACGGACATGTCATAATTATCGGCGATCATCACCATGTCCAATTGTGTTGTTACTTATCTAATTTGTGCAAGCAATTGAATGCATTGCTAATTGAAATTATGATATAATTTCATTTGGGCAATGCCACAACGGCAGACAGATCCATTGCAAGTGCGCACACCGAGTACCATTATATGGCGTGTGTGTGCAATTTGTAGCAAATGAAATTTGCATGTTCATTAATAACTCGACAAACGTTTTGTTCTTGAGCACATCTGTGTAGATTGTTGTGTCCGTGTGTCTCGCTTTGTGTGTGTGCTCGAATCCGGGAAGTAAGTGTTCGTTGTGTTGAGTGAAGTTGATAAATGTGACCGCGTCGAGGGGTTTAACAAAATGGGTAAAATGCGCTAGTGTTTTCAATGTACTTACATGGATGCGTCGATGCAAATGGGTAGTCTAGCGTTGGTAAACGTGGCTGGTGAGGCCCTGCAGGATGTATAGACGGTGGACAATGATAGCAAAACATTCCTCGACCTGCGTTCGCAGGGCTCAGCTGTAGATAAGAGAAGAAAAAAAATGATTTAAGAAATAAAATAACAAAAATCACTGATTATTTCCAAAAATCTGAATAAATTTCCACCAAAATCGTACGTTTAGCAAAGCTCACAAGAAAAAAGGTAACCGAACCGAATGTGTGTTTGCCTATTTTGCTGAACGGAAAACCACACACAAAACTATTCGTACTTCAATCATCAAAACAGATTGAAACAATTGTCTGATAACCGAATGAGTGCTCATTGCAGCCAGATCGCAGCTCATCGCGTTCGCTTGATTAACTACACAGCAAAAGAGTGTGGTGGTGGTGGTAGCGATGATGATGCGGGTGAAACGAAACAAACGGGAGCAAATGTATAGCATTGAGAGAAGAGACCAACAGCCGTGTGTGTGTGTGTGTGTGTATTTGCACGCGCGTGAGCTGGCTGGCGGAATCATAGCGCACAGAAAATGATATTATCAAGCAAATGCAATGAAATTACATTAAGGCTAATTTTGCGCGAGTTCATTGTTGTTGTGATATGGAATGGACCATATTTACAATTTGACCAGTCGGTCGGGTCCATTTGCATGCCGACGAAAAGACAAGGCCGTCGAGGCGTGATAGTGATAGTCGCATCAATTTGTGTGCTGCAGATTTAATTTTTGATTCAGTGAATTGGTATATCGGTTTAAAGTGATCAGTGAGCCATATCACAGCGATCTGCTCTCTTTTGCGCGCTTCTTTCCTCGGTTCCGTTGCGGCGGT